GTCTACTGTTGAGCACAGTCACTTAAGATTAACGATTTCCTGCCTCAACAAGTGAGCAGTACAAATATTTAGCCTAAAATATATCCTTGTTAAAAAAAAAATTGTTATGATGCAAATTAATATAATGTTATTTAATATAATAATAGGAGTAAGTTCTTTTTTGATGATTTAAAAAGATAACAAAACGTTGTAAACTTACTTGATGTTATTTATTTATTATATTTGCACTACATTATCAAGATTTTTTTAAACCAAGATTATAGCAGAATATTGTGTAAGAAATGAGACATTAAGGCCTATACACAGTGAGCATTATGCTGCTTAGAAATTTTTGATCCATTTGTTGATCCAGTAGAGACATTCATAGAAGTAATATGCATTGCATATTGATGATAGCAGCTTTTTTTTTTTTTAGATCAGAATAAGTTGATATTCAAGGTTTTCATACAACCTCTACTGACACCAACCATTTCAATGCGAACAATGTAATCACAATTTTGATGTGGTTGTGGAATTTTTCTGTAAAATGGCAGGCCTGTAGCCAGGATCTTCCAAGGGGGGTTTTTTGGGCTTGAGGTCCACAGTCGAAGCCCCGGTGGGATCGGCGAAACCCCCAAAGCAAGAGGATTTTTGTGCTTTATGGGTCTGAATAATGCTATAAAAGCAGATATGTTTGAAAACATCTGTGTCTGGGTGGTCTGCAGTGCATTAGTTGGGTTGGAGGACTTGTTTGGGAAATTTAAAGAGGGGAGTTCGCAAAAAAAAGGGGGGGTTTTTTAGAAAAGGGGGTTCTCCCAAACCATAAAAACACCCTCCTGTATACGGGCATGAATGGAATGTATTAAGGTTCATTTCAGTTCATTTGACACAGGCATGTCAAGTACAGTGTGAATATAGTTTTATCAAGGAGTTGGTAATTGGTTCTATGTTTCGACAAATGACCAATGGCTGATAGCACCTTGTCTGATAATGGACTATCTTTAGAGTAATTTTGACCTAGTGTCTGCAGTATACTCATTATCCTATCAGGATAAACTGGGTTCCAGTCCCTAAACTCTGTCTTAATCAATGAAAATGCTTAAAAATCAATTGATTTTGGCACCAGTGGTGTTCCATATTACTTATTTGCATGGCGTTCCATAGTTTCTTTTTCTGGGATTCGGATTAAACATTTTCTCCACATAAACTGAAGCTGGTGGCGCTCTCCGAAATTATGCTAATACTGCGAAAAATCAATAAATTAGAGACTTGTGGCAAGTCTACTATCAGGAGCCTATTTTTGTAAATGTTTCTAAATTAAAACCTAAGGAAAGACATTTTTCTGAGTTTTTATTAGACAATATTTAAAAGAATATATAAAAATATACATATCCTTAAAATATTGTTATTTAATATTGAAATTAATAAAGGCTCATATACAGTATTAATATTAACTTAACTCTATTATTTATCTGCCATTCCACTGAGTAATGCACCCTTCCAGATTGCCAATCAAACTTAAGATGAGAACAGGGCTAAGAATGCGTGCTTCTTCCACAAACATGTGTGTTGTCCCACGTTTACGTTTACGCTTTTATAGGACCTTATCAACAATATCTCTTAGCGGCCGGGCTTAGCAGAAAGGTCCATTGACTTCTCGGATAAACGCATCAGTACAGTTGACGATGCTTGTAACCTTGGCGTTATCGTTGGCTCCAATGTTGCGCTTGATAAACAAATCAGCAACATCTGCATTTTCATCTTGCAATTCATAAGATCAGAAGGATTCTAAAATGCTTAGCCAATCAAGCGTGAAACTCATGCATGCGTTGTTGACATCCCATGTATTGATTATTGTAATACTCTGCTCTATGAATTTCATTCAGGATTACTAACTTACCATACTCAAATAATTGGCTGAATTCTGCCACGAGATTTGTTGAAATGCAGCGTAACCGCGATATGGGTGGCCTTGAAGATAGACGAGGGCCCTATGCGAGCATTAATTTTGAGAACATACAGAGCAACTGTAGTGCTTGTGTGTGTCAACGTTGTGTGTGTCAACGTCAGTCAATCATTATTTCATGTTTTCATTGACAAATCAAGTGTCTAATGCTTGATATCAGCATTAACAACTATTGAGTATGAAGTCAATAGAAATACCAAACAACAAGACCATGTTTATGTTACATGTATTCCCACCTCTGAACATCATCATGAATATTCCAATTTTGTTTTTCCCATTTGATTTACACGTTACTTAAGATCAACAGCTTCAAGTTATCCGCCGCCCTGTCACCTCTGAATCTGACACCACTGTTGTTGATCCTTACCTTTAAGGCACTGCAAGAAAACTGCTCATATGTATTTATAATATTTTAATCCTCTTTCATACTTCAAGACACACTTTAATTAACGTCACTGTTTCAGTAACATAAAACTAAGTCTTGCAGGCTTTTGCAGGTTCTACTGCATTGCTCTGAAGCTCTGTACAGATTATCACATCTTCTTTGAAAAAACTGTCGTATGCCCATATATAGTCATGATGTGCCTATATATGGTCATGATGTGATGTCATCATGACCATATTTAGACATGCCACATGTTTTTGTCAAGTAGAATTTAATAGTCTGGACAGAACTTAACTAACAGCCACATTCATTCTACTAAGAACCAAATATTAACACATTTTTTTTTTCACGAGAAGTTACCAGCAATAAAACTTTGCTTAGAGCGTACTAAGATACAAACGCAGGGCACTTTACAAAGAGACTGGAATATTATTGTTTTATATCATTTGCATTTATGTTTGTTCATCGTGCAAAAAGGATGTCTGTCGCTGCAAGGATATTTTTACTACTTAAAATAATTTCACATAAATCGTATAAACATGGATGTTTAAATAAATCTTAAATTGCTCTGGATGTTTCAATAAGTTATTAACTTTCAATTGACACAATTTTCTTGCCAATTAAAAGACATGTAATGTAGCCTTTTATTGCCTGCTATGGATTTTCAGATTTTCTGTAAATCAATGAAGACTGATTTTTTAGGCCTGTTTCTACTGAAAACTTAAAAAATAATCAATTATTCCTAATTGGTTATTCAGACAGTCTGTCCGCATTGCTACTGCATTTTTGTGTTTGCAAAATTGGTTATTGACAGCCCATCGCAGTGGAAATTATATCAATATGACTACCAACTGACAGTAAATAAGACATTTATTCTGATACTACACTTTTTTAACAGTGAGACACTTCACTATCGTGAAGGTGCATCCAAAATTATAAAACTCAAATGAATATAAAAGTAAAAATAGAAACAACCAACCACAATACCAGGGGTCCCAAGTCTCCCGGAACTCCCCGGGAGTCTCCCGGAAATTGGTATAGTCTCCCGCACCCCCGCAAACAAGCAAAAATCTCCCAGTAATTCATTTATTTCCTGCAAATTCAGTAAAATAAAAAACAAATCTTTGTTTTATTTAGGCCTAAACTTTGGTTGCCAATTATTTTTTGCAGTCTGACAGTTCCATTTCCGGCCTTCTAAAGTGCCTATTCTAAAAAAAATGTCATCACCTCAGCCCCAATCATGGTGGGCCTGAGGTAGGCGTGGCCCTTTGTTTGGCACTTACACTTTTTCCTCATAGAATATATAGCGCCCCAATGTCATTAAATGAATTTCCCGGAAATGGGCTCTTCCAACTTGGTACCCCTGCAATAATACTGTAGTAATAAGCCTACTAGCATTTATGATATCATTTATTTTGCGTTATATGAAATAAAATACAAAGTTATTCAATGAAGCAGGATTAACTAAATGTATAAAAACATAACAGTCAAGGTTCTCCACAAAGAAAAACTTAAAAAAGATTATGCACAATAGATATTAAGATAAAATAAAAAAAAAAACGAATATTAAAATAAGAGTTTATTTTATTAAAAATTCTGTATTCTCAATTGTATGTTTGTTGTGTTATGTTGCCGGTAGTACACTCGAGCGGTACAAGTGGGGCGCCCTTTGAACATATACCAACCCATGCAAAAAGATGACAAGATAACTCGCACTTGGCATAGTCAGTAAAAAGTTCTATCACAGTGCCATCGACGAGTATACTCGCCCCCTAATATTTTCCCGCCAATTTATTAGACACATCATTTTGATGATATATGACTAGATAAAATTTCAAAAAAGTATGTTTGTACATGTAAACTTGTTTTGGCACACGGGAAGGAACCGTAAAAAAAGGTCTGCCAGTCAACGTGTTAAAGAAACAAGTTCTCGTAATCTTGAAAGTTCCGATGAGGGCAGTAGATTATGTTGGCCCTAACAGCCGTCCATACAAAAATATCTATTAATCAATCAAACAATTAATCAGCCGAGTGTTTCTAGAGCTCCTTATAACAGAGAATTTTTCAAGATAAAATAATTTGTACAAATTTAAAATGTCTTTAAATTGGAAAAAACTGTCTTAAAATTGGGAGAGTGGCAAGATGCGAATCAGACTCACAGCCTTTGTGTCATTCTTTGTGGACCCATTAGAAAAATTGTGTGGGACTGTCCCAGCTGTCACAATAGCTGGCTACGGCATTGGAAAAAGGGCGATCCTAGGTTGTCAGTGCACTCCACTGTGATTGGTTTTTTAAAACTTTGACGGAGGACTTGTGGCTCTTCATCAATCATAATAATTGCAAGAGCTTTTTTGGACAGCCTTTTTCCACCATCTTGAATATCTGTCCTAGTGTCCCAATGTATCTTCCCAACCGATCTTCACCATGTACTATTACAGTAACCAATATTAATGAACATTTTCAATGTACAGAAGATAATTATTAACAAATAATGTTAATAATAATTTACCATCCCAAAACCAGTGTACTGTTGCTAAATGTTAAACTAAACTAAAGTAATTAGCATGAGAATGCTGCGGTATTGTATACTTTAGTACAGAAAAACTGTAATAATTTTACTCATAACTTTGGCAATAGTATGTAAATTCCAGTAAATGACTCTTCATTTTAAATCTCATAATATGGAGGATATGGATATATTAAAAAGTCAATTTTCAGGTTTTGTTGATGCTGGTTTTGGCATGGTATATCCCATATAATGTTGAGAAGTGTGTTTCAACATTTATTAGTTGTCAGTAAATACATAGTGGATTGAGTAGGAAATATCATACGAGTTCTTCAACTCAACCATCAAAGAAATTCACATCTTACTGATCCTTCAGATTGGTGAAAGAAAGGATTTGGAAAAATCCTATTGATTTTTATTTAGTTGACATCACTCGATTTGACGTGTCACATTCATACACTGAAACTTGATGCTAGATCTGTGAATTTACTGTAACATCGTAATACACACTTGAATCTATAAATAACCATGAAAAAATGAACATTCAATGGAAAACATTCATTTTAAAATTTGTATTTATTTTTAATTATTTTTATTATTTAATATTTTATTATAGTTGGATATTACTGATGTAATATAACTGGTATAATTATTCAAACATAAACTTGAAAGCTAATATATATAGATTTTATATTGTATTGATAAAATCTAATATGAAAACTGTAAGTTTAAAAATTTATTTTATATTTTAAATAACAAGCAGTAAATGATTCTTGAACCTTAACTTACAAGTTACAACTTAATCAAGTGTATCGTTATTTATTCTATGTAATGGTTTTTCCCCATTTAAAATGATTTGTGTCTTATTTTTAGTACAGACAATTGCAAGGTTCTTTTTTTATATTACAATGCACATTAATCTTCTAGAGCAAGCAGAAGTTGTTTATATGGGTTTGCCTGCTTAATGACCACTGCTTGTTATTGTGGGCCATATAAAAAAAAAATATTAGTTTCTCGTCCCTTTGCGCATCATTTTTCTCTGTCTCACCAAATTTTGTTTCTTTATTTCCTTTATTTAAAAAAATGTACGAAAACCTGGCTAACTCACATCAGTATAATTCCTCTCCTGTGGTTGGGGATACATGGTATAAATCATGTCTAGTGCTTTGCTTTCAATGTGTCTACCTGATAAAAGTGAGAAAGTAGTAGCTGTTTCCCATCGGCCATCTTGGATTTGCCATCTCGGAATAAAAAAAAAAAATGCCCTCATTCTCCTTTTTTCAAAATGTTAGGACAAGAAACTATTTCTCTAGACCTAATGGTAAACTGTGCTTGTATGGTTCAATTGGATTAAATAAATATTAATGATCCATCATCATTTCATTTTTTCTTATGTACCATTTCTTTGTTACAATATGAATGTAAATTTTTTCAGTAATAGCAATATAAGAATTTTTATATTGCCTATTAATACCCAGGGATTTAGCACCTAAAATATTAATTTAGGGAATAGTATTTTGTCCTTGTTGAATCGTGTATTCCACACAGAATGTTTTATATACCGATTCCCCACACTGGAATATTGCTACATAAAAAAAAATATACTCAAGTAGTTAAAAATTACTTTATATCACCTCCTCACATTTGCATTTCCTCCACCCCATGCTGATATCCTTGTGTACACGACTATCACCATTGTCGTTAGTTTAATGTTATTATATTGTTACTTATTCTACAGCTTTGATTTGGTTGTCATTACGGCAAATCTTGTTGTTGCCATCGCTCTCATTATGATTTAACTATGATCATCATCATTATGTTGTCATAAACTTTCATGAAGATATAAGGTTATACAAGTGTAGCATGAATTATATATACTGACCTATAAAACAATAACCCTAAGTATATGACATATATCTACATGAAACAACAACAAGCTATAGTGAAACATATGTCGTATAACATATGGCCAGTGATGACTCTGTACAAAGCTAATTAGGCTATTCCTTCATGCTAGCCCGTGGTTTGCATCAATACAAGAAAGTTGATATAATATTTCATATATACATCGCCTATGGTCTACGGCTATGCACTTGTTTGTGTATAATATATTAATGAGAATGGTAAATCATTGATGAACCAGGCTAGACATAAATAGCCATCATTAATGAATATGGCTCTACATATGACCAGATATCATTATGTAGGGCCATCAATAACAGAGGGATTATACTCACATTGCATATATATTATATACATGGCTGTACATATTTGGCCATACATTATTCTTATATACTTAAGAAATTGAAATTCTCACTATCTCTTACAAGTCAGCTGACCCAAATTTAGTTCCATATTTTAAATTCCTAATTGATATATTATATGCACTAATTATTATTATTATACAGTATGCGCTAACTTCACCTTTCACCTTTTTCTTTTACAGAACTGTCCAATTTTGCTGCATTATAGGCCCAGGCTTCACTTCAGCTAACACCTGTTCACTTCACCGAAGAGGAAAAATTTATATAGAGATAATGTAAATAAATATATTTTATTGATGAAATGTGAATAAGGAAAATTAATTGTGATCTCAGACTGCAGGAAAATTGATGTCAGTGGAGGAAAAGAGAACCACAGAATTTTAACTTTTTTAATCAGTAAAAAGAAGCCCTACAAGGTACGAACTCAAATTAAAATGTCCTATGTTGATAGATTTGCCGGGTACAAAAAGTACACCGATAGCTGCATTCAACACACAGATCTAAAGTAGACCTACAGCGATGGATGTTTGGGGTACAAAAAAAAATCACACATGTTTCAAATATGTATTGAAACCTTCAGGGTATACTGATCACAAAATAAACCAGGTATAAAAAACAAATAAGGTGTTGAGGTACAGTACATCGATCATTATTTGAGCTTGATATCAGCATTATCACCATATCATCAACTCGCTTGTTCCCTCGTGGGGGATTTGATCTTCTCGATATCGTCATCCATCTTTAGAACTCAAATTGATGCATCTTGAGCCAAGTACAGATGAGCCTGGTATCAAAATCCCACAAGATATTTAAGCTACACTATCAAAAACCCCTACAAGGTACAAACTCAAGATCATGCCTTTCATATCTATAGCGTTCACATGCGGTGACTTTTATCTTGGGTGGGGGAAAGGATATTTTAATGTTTGATGGGTAGGGGTGGCATGGTTATTTGTATGTGTTGAAGTATATGTTGGTATTATAATTCTGTTGTTAAAGTAGTTATGAAACTGTGCAGTTTGTTGAACCTAACCAATTTGATTGATTGATCAAACGACATGTGAAATTCTCATTCACCAGCGAGAAATCCGCCACTTACAGAATGAAACTTAAACTAAACTATATAGTTCAGAACAGACTAAAAAAAAATCTACTACATTATTAATAAAATTTATTTTTTAAATTTTAATCAACACAATATTCTAAGCATAACCTTTCAAGTCTTCTGACCTACAAATACTGCTTGTTTTATTGTCAATGTAATTGCTATGAGCTTCCAAGTAAATTAGATTATGTTGTTCCAATCTTGAAGCCATCCATATGGGTGGGGAAGATGAAGGGTTTGCGGAATAATTTTTCCTTGCTACAAGGAACATATTTTAACTGTTTTTGAACCCAAATCTTTACCAACACCACCTTAAAAAAAGTAAAATTTTTCATTTTTGTTTGTAGATTTTTACATGATTTTTTCCCAACTCAGCGTTAATGTTTAATCACTATAAAAATATATATTGTAACTGTGCATTTACACTGACCAATGGCATTGCTAGATTAGTAATCACATGTGTCAAATGTCAGACTACACTAAATCATTTTGTTTATTAGTCTATTTTTACAAGGTATATTAATATTTTTTTTGTGGATTACCAAGTCTGTCATGTTAGACATTTTCATATGAAGTTCAGCTGTCCTTCAAAGTTCAAGTATTGTTCAATAATTTTCAGTTGGCTATAGTTTTGCGCTTGTAAATCATTTTACGTCCAAATTGATTTGTATAATATAATACGTTCAGTATGTTTTCAAACCTACAACAATGTTTGAAAAAAGTTATTTTAAATTGAATAATGAACTTAACATTGTTCCTCATAAATATATAATTGAATTTTGCATTTATTTCAATGAATTTTTAATCATGTTTTACATGAATTGTTTACAGAATATATTTTTTATATTATCTGATTTTAAGTACAGATTATTTAATATGCTTCAGTAATCCAATTTTTCATCATTTTAAGAGTTCAAAACATACTCTTTTCTGTGATCTCACTCCCAAAGTGTAGATAATAAATTGAATATTGTTGTTATTGTGAGATAATTTTTTAATTTTCATAAAGATTATGTACTCTGTTGACCCTTCCCCCTAAAGTATGATTTGCACTCTCGTTAAAATGATGACAAATTAATGACCCCTTATTATTAATATATGTGATTAGTATTGTCGGTCAGTCAATCAATTTATACAGTTAATTAATGAATTTTATAATAAGTATTGTACCGTACTTTACCTTCTGCGTAACTGGTGCTAAACTCATACATCATATTTACATACAATAATTTTTAGGATTTAAGCAGCACTTTGTAAAAGTTAAAACTGACACTGAAGAAAATATCAATCAGAGTTATTTCAATGTTTAATACTACCCTTCTGCACTTCCTGGGGAGGGGATGTAGCCGTGATGCAGAATGCTACACATAGACCAATATGTTCAACAAGATGAGAGAGAGGAGCTCAGGGGTTAAACACAAATATTTTTAAGACCCCACTACCCAAGGGTGAGAGCCCGAAATGCAACTCTGAAACAAACGTCGATGCCTGCCAAATAGGTATTCTAACCAACCACTGTTTGTCTTTGCCATTCATTCTATAACAATGAGGACTAAGTCATGCAGTGCTTTGAGCTAAAGCCTGATTAATGATGACTGAAATGCCATGGGTCAGTTGTACATGATATGCCTGCTGAAACAAAATACATCTTTTTCATTTAGGTATCTGTATTGGAGAATATCTCTGCCATGTTTTGCTAACATTTATATTACTAGCGAATTAAAAGTCTCATAATTAATACTGTTTTCAAAAGCGAATTCAAGGGTGAGGGGATGTCCCCTCCGCTCCAAGTTTTTGAAAAATTTTGGAAAAGGAAGTCTGAGAATGCCATTTCTGGCCTTGTACATGTGACGTAGCCATATTAAAAAGGTTGTACCTCTGCCCGAACATGGTTAGTGGTCTGGACCCTCTATCCGTCAAAGTTCCTTTCCGGGTTCCTCTATTTTGAATTTCTGGATCCGCCACTGTTTGTATGTTTTTTAAATAGAATATTAAATTGGCTGGTAATTGATTTCTGAAGTAAAATGACTCTAAATCACTGAAAATGATGTCTCATTGATCCTTTTGATTATGCAGTGCAATGTTTTAATTGGATATTTAAAAAAAATGTTTTACAAATTTTATCTTAAATGTAGATAAGTTGCTATGTCTGATTTTCCCCAAATTTTTATCTCATCTAAGCATACAACAGGAGTGTAGTATATAATATTTAACATGTCCCCAAGAAGGGATTTTTACAGGTGGAGAGTCCAGACAGCCCTAAGATGGAGGTACAACCTTTTTATGTCTACTATGGTACATCTAGACGGCAAGAAATGGCATTCTCAGACTTCCTTATTGTAATTGTAACTTTCTTTTATTAGGCCAAGCAACAAAAATAATTAGTTTCTTATCACTGCATGTTTCCTTTTTGCTGCTGCCTTGCCTTTGTTTGGATTCCCCCTCCCCCCAGCTTTTCCGAATAATAATAATACTGGTAATTTTTGTACTCCCTGTTTGAGCCTCTGTACACGAACTTGATCTGGAGAATCTGATGGCCAGAAAAAAAAATAAATAAAAATTAAACAAAAAGGGCCTCCTTAATCTTCAAACATTTGGAGTGTCTTTTTTCGCTTTGCCTTAATTTTGCTAAAACCAGAGCAACTGACGGAAAGTATAACCCTCATTTATTTTCTTTCACAATATGTTTTTGATATTGCCATAAAATGACCATGCTCTTAAAATCTGTCTTATATTAGAGCCAATGACTCGATTTGCTATTGGATGATTGTGCTGTTCCCTTGAGGTCTCTCTGTCAATTGTTAATTGTATTTTTGCATGCAAATTTACAATGGCCATAGATTAGGTTGCAGTTTCTAATTTATATGTGTGGGATAATGCATTGATATACCCACTGTTAAACTCTTTAAAAGAATACTTCTGACATGAATACATATATGAACCAATGAAAAACATATTGTTGTGAAAACATTTCAAAAACAGATAGGCCTGTTGTTGTTTAAAAACACCTAAACATGGAGAGTTATGTATTGATAAAAACAATTATTAACACTATATTACTGAGGGTTTTTTACTGATAAGCAAACTGCTTAAGCACCTCAAAATAATGATAATAGCACAGTAGTACAAAATAATGCACTGCAAAAATAATAATAAAATGGATGCTAAGTTGTATTACTATATATCCTACTGCTAAATGCCAAAACATTTAAAATAACCCTTAGGATAAGCAGGCCAAACTAGTAGCACAGACTCAAAAGTTAAACAGCGTATTCTCAATTTTGAATATTTTAATTATATTTAAATTTGTCGAATACTTCCATTAACCACCAAGAATGATATACCTTAAGTGCATGATGTAATAATTGTTCACTTTTTTTGGCTTTTGGATGATTGTTTACTGTTTGATTGATTGATTGACAAAATTATTGATGTAGTATTTGTAGTGTCAAGAACTGAGTATATAATTTGTGACATGTATTTTATTTTATTGTATTATCTTCATATTATGCAATGTTTATGTACATTTGGTACGCAAGTTCTTTTTACTACTAATTCTCCATAAATTGCATACAAATTAAGAGGGCTGATAGAAAATTGATAAGTAATGTAAATTTGTCACAAATTTAAAATGAAGGTTTTTTTTATTTGCAACTAAGCTGCAAGCACTCTTGATATTGCTTGTTGGCTCTGTTTTGTTTATCTTCTAAATTTAGTTGCCAAATAAATTAGAGGGTTGTGAGACTTTACGTTAAAAAAAACAAAAGAATTTTACTTCATGCTAATATTTTCTGTACTAAGGAGAGTTTCATATAAGAATTTTACTTCAATTTCATTTACCAGTTAATGACTGATTTCGAGTACTGTATATGTTTTTAACGTCCCGGGAAGTGGGTCATGGCAAATTGCCTTGACGTAAAAAGTTTGAGAATCGCTGCTTAGACCACGTAGTGTATAGATATATAGTTCATTTCATTAATTTAATGTTGTTTGTTTGGTTTTTGTGTGCCCATTCCTGCAATATTATATATTATTATGTTAACATGTTTGCAATTGTAAAATTTTTAACCTAGCCTATGTCCGTCTTACCTAGCACATGATACCAACCACCTATGCACTTGTTATTACCCCGGCCAATAGACCAATTATGCTAGGTTGGTCACATGACGTATAGTGGGTATAAATTGTAAACAGGCAGTGGGAGTGACTCTCGGTAATAGGAAAAGGCATGGCTTCTTCAGAGATTTTCTGCTGTAAAGCACATTTGACACTGTATGATTTCTAGGCTAGCTAAGGTTTACGAAGAATCATATAAATCCCAAAGCATACAAAGCACAGAGAATGCTAGAATAAGTAAATAAACACTATTTTGAACAATTGTAGTGCCCTTCCTTGCCAGTTATTTCTCAAGTTAATAGTGGGAGGTTGTTTTTTTGTAACTTTAACATTACCTTTTCCTATACTGTACTTTCACACTGATTGCACTATAAGTTCTTCATAGTTATACCCACTATTTGTCATGTGACCGGCTATTAAAACAAACCTCGTGGAAACAGTCTATTACAGAACACACCAATCTAGCTCCCTAGGGAAATATTATCTTTCTTTCATGTAGTCGTAGGTTGTATATATGAAGATGACTCTATGTGAATGTTTGTTTATTTTTTATTGGCTTCCAAATAATAGTTTAAAAAACGACGTTCCTCATAATTGACTATTGAAAAGTCATTACCACAGAAGGCATATTTAGTAGATTTATACAGTATATATGTATATGTATAATTTTTTGTACATGCAATGCAGGTATTTATGTACGCTTGTAGTTGTATCTCCATCCCTACATACCTTCACCATGTAACAAAATTTGCATCACTTTTCGACACCAAAGACCATTTATTTTTGCTTTTTTAAAATGACAGCACAGTAGCTGCTTAGTTCAGAATTTTTTTTGTTGCAATTGTCGATAATGATTTTTACATTTCCGGTAATTTTAATTGACTGCTTTTTTATGTACCATAATGTAATTGAATATTGCTAAATTCAATTGAAAGAAAAACTAAATAATGTGGAGTTTCATCTTAATGTAAATATGTTTGTAAATAATTATATTTATAATGTTAATGATATGATAGAGAATTCAAATACTGTAATGGTTAACACATCAACTCCTAACACACTGGTTATGTATTTAATTTGACCTACATAATGACGACAAAGTGGAAGATGTCATTTAGGTTAACGAGGAGAAATCTAATTAGGAGTGATTGCTAGAGGCTGATACTCAAAGCCCATCTCCATAACAAAGGATGTTGAAGCATTGTATGAACATCTCAATGGAAAACATATTGACTTTGAAGACATGGACCAAGACGTAAATTATTGTAATTAATGTAATTTTACTGACACATTGTATTGAAAAATGGAAATTAATTTTTAAAAGTCTAATAGCATGGTCCAATTGATTTTGTTACTAACACCATGTGTTTTGTGGAAGAAATTAACAATTTTAATGACAGTAATTATTATTGATAAAGATTGAAATGAATATTCCAAGTGTACAAGCATTGGTTGCAGTACATTTATCAATGAATGCATAATCTTTTAAAATATGTTACTCTCTGAATCCAGTCAGTTAATGAATTGATTTAAGATTGACAAAATCTTGGGTAGTGTTTCATAGTCCAAGGAGTGTGTTTACATTAATGAGATAAGATCTTGTAAAAATTTGTTTTAAATGTAATGCCTTTTATCAAGACATTTTAAATTAAGATATTTCATAAAATGAAATAGAATAGATGTAAAAAAATATTTTACTTAATTAAAAAACAAAAGGTGGAGTTTTAAAATGTATGTTTCGAATACGTAGGTGTACACACAGCTCTCATTGTACCTTAATTTATTTTGTGTCGCTACATACAGTACTTCACTTTCCACCATAGGCAAGTCCTTAAACCAGATGTACACTTTCTAATATTTGTTTGGCGTGATTGGTGTCTGACATCATTTTTTTGGCTTTTCATTTTCAGCATTAGATTTTTTTCCCTGGAAACTATCGTTGTTTATCCTCAGAATAACATGATAATTTGAGATGTTATAATTTTGGTTTTGAGGCAACACCTGGCCATCTCGGAATATCCTTCTTAAGAAGTTAGAATAAAAAAAGCCTCCTTTTCTGTACAACTGGCTTGGAATACATACGTAGAGAGGCCTGAAGATGTCTGATATTTTTTTTGGGTGTTCTTTGGGGTTTTTTTCTTTCCAGCTCCAATCCATCCAGTAGGCTTTTGAAAGATGATAGACAATGTGGAGGATGCATTAGAAATAATGTATTGCACTCAATTTAATCAAAGTAATTATAAAACCAAAGTTTTAAGATAAATAATGATTATCCTATCATCTACCAATAAATGCATTAATAAATGATTAATTAAAGATATTATGTTTTGATCTCCAGGGTTATTAATCAGTCCTATTTTCACTGCACAGCACTTTATGCTATATTAAAAAAATTAATAAAAAAAATATATATCTATATACACAAGTATGTTTAGGTAGCTATTATGACTATTATTAGCTTTTAAATAATTATAATATGCTAATCTAGAGTTGTATGTAACATTTTAGTACTGTACATCAATCTAAAAAAAAGCTGTGTCTCATGTGCTGCTATTGCAATTACTGGATAGCAAAAAAAAAATGTTTCAAATTATCTTTTTAATAAAATGAAAATACTATAAAAATTATTTGTACTGACTATTTTTATGTATTGTAAATCAAAAGAATTGCTGGTGATAGCAATTACCAGGGGTGGATCCAGAGATGTCCAAAAGGGTGGAGGGGGGAAAAAGTCGGGGCCGATCGAGACAACACTACCCTAGGGGGTATGGGGGCATGCCTTTGTTAATTTTTTGGTTTTTTAGACGCCCAAAAATAACCTGAGGTGTTTTGGACGATCAATTATTTCTTTTTCTTTCTTTTCTTCTTCACTTTCCAAAAAGGGGGGAGGGGTTGCAGGCGGGAGGCCAGACCTCACACCTGTTTACATGCAGTATATTGAATGGAGTGTGGAAGTGATTTAGCGCATCAGTGGAATTGGTTTGGTTTCCCTACCTTGAGGTCTGTGTTTCAATGCTTTGTTGTGCTTTTCGCTGGTGTTCTTGAGCAAGGCACTTTATCCACATTGGCTGTTTCTATGGATACCAGCGAATTTCTGGGAGTAACCTGTGATATGCTGATGTCACACCCAGGGGAGTGTCACACACTCATCCCCTTAACACTACACAAACTGGGGATAAGCTCCCGCCATAGTGGCTCAGCAAACAGAATATTTTGTGGAACAAAGAACGTACAGTAATATGCTGGGACAAAGTGCTGAGTAAGGCAGTTTAGCTGAGTGTTGATGTTGCTCAAATTTGGCTTACCCTTTGTACTCTCTTCGTCAAATTCTTTTGAAGGGGTGGGGTTGGTGATGCTCTCGTAGCAAGAGTTTAATTCACTTGGGATTATGGAAAAGAAGTAGTGGAAAATTCCTGGAATGCTGGAAGAGCACTCCACCAAAAGCTAGAGCAGCCCATATTTCTTTTGCTCCAATTAATTTGATGGGCATATATACCTGTCTCTTATACACATCTAGATGTGTATAAGAGACAGGTTATACAGTATTTGTGACCCAAGCTCACAAACGGGCTGTAAACTCGTCCTCAGGCCAAAATGAGTTTTTGTTATAATGGCATAGAACATATCATTTACTTTAAAATGACAGTTAAATGAACTCAATCGGGTGTCTGGAAGCAAAGATATGGCCGTTTGAATAATTGTCATCTTATCAACTTTCTTAAATCAAGTTTTGAGAAAAATGCTTTTATTTTCGGCAGGTTTCTATTCATTTTTCATTAACTCCCATCCGAAAATGGCTAAATTTTACCTCTTACAGTTGGAATTTTAAACTGAAACTTCAGGAATAGTAAATACTTTATTTATTACACAAACACCCAATTCACACAAAATTCACGTTCTACACCCTATTCTGGGTATTGAGGCTTGTTTCTCAATACAGTGCAGTGCGAGTTTACAGCCCGTTTGTGAGCTTGGGTCATATTTGTCATCATTCACTTCCACTATTAGGAAGCATTTCATGCATATTAACAATTCATTGAATACACTAAGTGTAGAGTAGACAATCCATGGTGGTGAACAGCATACTACAGTACTTTGACAGTGCAAAATTTGGCTTATTTACAGCCATGCACTTTCAAAATTCACTTAATTTCACTTGCAGCCCTGTTTTGGTCCAAATTCAGAGTTGGTTAGGTCAGCACTGTACATTTATGTTCGAGGCACTCTGAAAACCACACCACAAAAAAAATTCAATGATTGATAACCGTTTACATTTGAAAATGTTTTATTAAAGGTAAAAGCACAATTGGCTAACTAATCTACTTGGATAAGTTTTCCTCAACATTTTAATGCTTGTCCAAAATTATAATTATTATTAAAATTGTTAAAGAAAAATAAAAATCATTCTTAACTTGCATTAGTCAAATTGATAATACAAATTTTCATATAAACTCCATAGTGAAGCAACATACAATACTATAATGACAAACAATATTGAATAAGGGTGGCATCAGCTTCCTTTCCAGACAGGTGGTCTATTGTTCCCAGACAGATGGGCCCCAGTTCACATCCACTTCAGGCCCACTAATTTTACTTGGCGCTCTGACTGCTGTGTCAGGCTCCCTCCCTGATGGGCCCACCCAGGCCCAGTGGGCCCACCCAGGCCCAGTCAGCCCACCCGCTGGCACCATCCCTGCATTGAAAAATTTGTGGTAACGAACAAAAAGTCAAAGCAAGTTGATTCTAATTATGGTTTATTTACTTCCAGCAAAATTATCCATTTGTTTTGACAGAATACAATTTCCTGAAAGTGACTTTACTTGTGGATGGTAACCATGATTATATACAAGGTTGAATGTAGCAATGACAAATCTAAAATGTTACAGGCAAACAATAAATGTTAAGTCAGTATGTAACATATTGAACAAACAATGCTATGTGTTAGAATTCCTGGAATACAGTACTCAAGTAGGGATTTACCATACTGTACTTCCTTCAATACTTCTAGTGTAATCAGAGGTCACCAAATTGGCTTTTATAGATCAAAAGATTGGTGGTGTTTACCCTATTCTTATGAACCAAACACAATTCTGTTCAATTAGTGTTTAAAATTCCACCACACAGACAATCTTCCACATTATTCCTCTTTACATAGAAAGCTCGCAGTCAATTTATCACCATTGCTATCAATTCCCTCTATGCATGGCCTGGTGCTCAACCAACCATGGCGTGGGCTGAGCAATACAGACAATTACATCCACAGCTTGATTAAATTATTCTGATTGGTTAACTGTTGCCAAGGGGTGGAGCTTGTGAATAAATGACACTGACAGATCAGTGATATAAATTCACAGGGATCTCTTTACTGAAATACCTTCCAGTTGTAATTCTGCTAGCTAAATGGGATGTCCTTGAAATTAATACAGATTATATACACTATTGGATATATTACTGATAAATGGCGGTATATTTTAAACATTCATTTATAAGCAACATGATTTAGTGAAACTAAATGACACCCATTATTGGATTCTGTAGTTTAAATCAAATTTGTGTTTATACAAAAGAGCATGCAATGATATGCATGTTATAAATCATAACTGTTGTAAAATAGGATAGAATCAATTGAAGTGTTACAATTAGTGGGTACAGTAACTGTTTCATCAATAAAATGCTGCAATGATCTTAGTTATCTCAGACAAGCAAGAAAATTTAATACCACTTCGTCTCCAGTTCTACATTACCAATATTATTTACATCTAAAATCATCTACGCCTGAAGATGATTTGAGCAAATCTATGAAATATCAAAACAACAGTGATTGTATTATTACCACTTCATCATGCAGTAATCTGCTAACATAATTTATTAAATGTTTTATGCTGCTTTCAAATATTATTTTAAAAAGTAATATAATATTAAGGTAGTCCACTATCAAGGCCTATTCTTGGTACAATTCACAGAGGGCTGTGTTCTTGACCAAGCATTTGAATGCCTATATATGGTCTTTATACAAATTGGTAAATTAATACCTAGTGTTAAATGGTGACAAGGGTGTGGACCCAAACAACTACTGTAATGGGGAAACCCCATAAGAGTAAACATGTTTCAATTTTATTTGAAACAGTGTGAAAACAGCTTCCATGATAAAAAATACAAATATGGGCATGAACTCATTTTTAAATTGAAACTTTCTTCTTTTTCTTCTTTTCCTTCTTCTCTGAAACAGGTTCTTCTTCTTCCATGCTGACATCTGCAACTTTGGACTTTTTCTTCTTTTTCTTCTTCTCGGATGTTCCATTGGTCAGCACTTCTTCCTCCACCTTTACTTGTACTGCCTTCTTTTTCTTCTTCTTAGGTGTCTCTTCTGGCTCTTCTTCCATTGTAGTATCTACTCGGCTTTCCTCGGCCTGCGATTCTTCAAGTTTGCGTTTCTTCTTCTTTTCCTTCTTCCGTTTCTTCTTCAAGATGGCTTCCTGCTCTTTCGCCTGAAAAGCACACAATCCATTTTAAAGTCACATAATGGAAATGTCAAGAAAAAAAAAAACTGAATAGGAGCAAGTACTGTGGTTAGATTTATACCAGGAAAAGAAATTACTAGCAGATCTAGAAACATTTGATTGGATCAAAAAGTCGAGCCTTTTGAAGATTAATATTAAACAATGATTATGACAAAGTCATACAAAGCATTTATATAACCCATTGTGTGAAATATAAAAAGCATAAAATTCACAAATAACACAGATTACATTGTGTATTACAGAGCCTTCGATGTGCATTTCTGGCACTCTGCTTTCAGTTAAGAATTATCTTGATTGTTTAAACTGCTTAAAGCATATTTCAGCCTGAAGCCTCAAGTATTTTAGTCATAAATTTCAATACACTTTATTTTATTTTAAATTAAAAAAATATAATATGGGCTTATACCAAAGTATCGTACTACGTTATCGATCTACTGGCTAAATTGAAAGAGGGTGCTATCATACCTCAACGACAGCTTCCTTCATGACATCAACATTTTTTCTTGGTGCTTCGCCGGTTTCATAAAAAGACAAGCGTTCTTCCACTTGGCCTCGTAGCTTCTCGCCAAAAACAGAAGACGGCATCTCTGAAAAACAAGAGTGAAGTAATAAACTTGTGTTGCTTTTTAATTTAATACACTTTTACTTAACCAACTATTTTATAAAAATACTACATGGTATCTTGGTGTAGTCCTGGGTATGACACTAAAATGCATCTGGTAGATAGGGTGGTCAGCTTCAGAGTATGTCTCAGTGGCTGCTGAGGGAAGAGTATTCCAGCCACCCAGCAGCAAAAAAAAAACAAAAAAAAAACTGCTGAACAAAGGGTGGATGAGCTCCTCAGAGTTCAAGGAAGTCATTAACTTTACTGTGATTATAAAAAGTGCACAACCCATTGGAAACGACCCTACTATAATGGTAGATTTATGAAGTGTATTATGATAAGCCTTCTATGAGTTTCACATCATTACCCTGGTCATTGGATTAAACACCTATGGAACACAAGCTCAACTCCCTGGGGGAGGTATTCCATAATGCTGCAACAGCTAATCAGCATATTTTGTCATTTAACCCTACCAGGTACCTTACTCCTTGGTGGAGAGAAGCAATGCAGATAAAGTGCCTTGCTCAAGGACACAATTGAAATACACAGCGAGTGATTGAAACCCTGACGTCAAGGTTGGGGAACCAAACCATTGCATCAAACCACTTCTACATGAAATAGGTACTATTGCCCAGATCAGAATTATATTGAAAAAAAATACATATTTTAAAAATATATGCTATTAGGAAAATTAAAATATTCTTTATGAATTGTATTTATTGAAAGAAATGGAAAAAAAAGAAGGAAAAAACCCACCTGAGAAGCAGTCAATTCTTGATGCTATTGAGCACTTGTTTGCAAGATAACGTGAAATTCTTCCCTTGTTCTTAGCACCAGCTCGTCCAATGAAAGTGGAATGAAAGATTAGACCATACTTGGGTGTGTTACCTCTAGTTTTTAATGCCCTGTGACAGAATAAAATAGATAATTTAAAAACAAATGATATAGTACTCATACTAGTAATTATTCAGTTTCAATCATGGAGAACTATTTCTTTGAACTTACATACCATGTACATAAGAAAAAATACAAACAGCAATGAAGATAACTGGCATGTAAATTTGATGTACATAACGTACAGTATATAAAACATAATTACCTGAAAAGTGCCTTTTCTGCTCCCAAGATCTGGACGGTAGATGCTGGATACTTAGCCAAGTTAGTCAGACTACCAGCATGTGAGATCAGACGTGCACCAACCTAAGAAAAAAAGTTTAAAATGAAACTTTAAAATTTTAAAGAAATATGTGGGCAACATTGCTGATGGCACTTTAAGTTGACAGAAATAATACATTAATGTTATACAACAAATATTTTAATGAGCATTTAAGAACACATAAAATGGTAATATTTGGAAGATTAGCTCTACATTTGGCCCAGCTAGATGCATACCAAGACCTAGCCTGGGTTCCAGGCCCTAATTTTAGGTTACTCACTCTTTATATACTTAGGAACCTTGCTCACCGCTAGCTGCTACAGATTTAGGCCTTTAGGGTAGAATATTGTTAAAAAGGTAGGCCTCTGTAAGAACTTAAAAATACGCCAAGCCTCTACTACTAGGCTAGGCCTACTACTCCTGACTCCATCCAGATGAGGCCTGAGCCATCATCCTGGAAAGTTAAAGTTTTGTTGTATTTGTATGGTATGCCATCTAGTCTAAGCTTAATTGTTTTTGCCATTGCCAAAATTAGTCTTACTAGGGTCTATTCTAAATATTTTAGGCCCGTTTTATTACGGAGGACTATTTAAATTTAGTCATGCCTAACTAGTAGACGCGAGTGACACAGTTTCGTGGCTCCAAAAATATAAACATTTGATTGGTTGAAATTGTTTATTTCGGTCCGCCCATTTATCCAAATACGGAATATAAGTTTACGTCATTCTTTTGGCATCCTGGTGCCTGATTTCAGTGTTTTACATCGTCTATCTCTAAATTAACTTTCTCGTTGGTGGCGCTATCCAGAATGAGAAAAATAATAACAAATAAGAGACTTGTGGCAAGTCTAACCAAGACCATAAAAAACAGCAAAAAGTAGGAATTCTGAAACAGTGGGCCGTTTTATACACCTGACATACAAAAACCGATCAAAAAATCCTTTTAAACCCGGGGCCGTCTTATACACAAGATTATACGGTACTCATGTTACACAATACCTGATCTCCAATGAGCGCTGCTAGATTTGGCGCCACATTCTGCATCTTGTCTTGCAAGTATGTATGTAAACTCTTCCTGTAGTCGGCCAATGCTATGACACGAGTAGAGAAATTCTCAATGTTGATCAGGTCAATTGGTGATATGTCCATTCCTAAATGAATAGAATACTTCATAATAATTATAATGATAATAACAAACATGTATGGCTGAGTGTATAGCCAAAGAACTGGCAATGAAACGTTAAAAAGTACTGCCACAAAGGGGGCATGTCCTTCAAAAGTATGTACAAGGCGTTCGCATCGAATGCGTGCTGCGTTTGAAACCCTAACACACATTCTACAGACGCGCAGCACACATTCGATATGAACGCCTTTACGTTCTTTTGAAGGACACGCCCCCTCACGGCATTACTTTATGAGATAGGATTGCGTTCCAACGAAACCCCGACAGTCGGACAGTCTTGCAGTTTATACTCTTTGGTATAGCTTATCCTTTAATATCTATGTTTAAATCTATAATCTATTTTTATGACACTGATAAAAACTAGAATAACTTTTGTAGTATTCGTACAATAAATAAGCACTGTGCACTTAGTTACACAATTGTTAATTTATATTAATTTTATATCTTTATTATATATTTAATTTATATTTCAAATTTACATTTTCTATGTTTCTTTTATGTTTCTGTTTCTCTATTGATTTGGAGAGCCACTTGACAGTTATTTAGTATACTTTTGGTTATCCTGTCTTTTGCCGATTTACATAAATATACTTTATTGAGACAAAATAAATGAAATGAAAAAAGAATTGGTTGTTTACCCATGGATGATTTACTTGCATCATAGATAGCCTGAGCTTTTGCTGAATCCATCGTAATTTCTTCAAGACCCTCTAGACAGTCAGCAGTCAGGTCTTGGCGACTCTTGATAAACTTTGTGACTTTAGCATATGTCACATTGTCCGTAACAATTTTGATTAACTCTGGAAAATGGTACCCATACCATTCTCTACAAAAAATATTAAAAACAAAACAAATTATTAATATTTGTCACAGGAGAACTGAATGTTTTTATGTGGATTAATACTGCAAATTTTGATAACAAATTTCTATATAGAGGCATACCTTATACGCATACAAAATGTGTTGATGTCTTTGTCTAGTTGGTCCAGAAGACTTATTGATTGAATAATCATGTTATCCACCCTGTTTACATTGAACTTTACTTTTGCCCTTGAATAGCTGTGACCCAAACCGAGTTGAGCTTTTCCTTCGACCTCAAGCGTAAGGCCTTTGATTAGGGCATGGAAATGCAACCGAATACCTAGGATAAAATAAAAACAATAATTACAGTTTTATCAATTTAATGAAATAAAAGTGATAAAAACCTTGAATATTCTTTCCTGTCTCTTGGTTGGATTAGATTTTACATATTCAGTGTAAACACCAAAGACAAAGATAACCCACGTCCAAAGACTAATTTCCAGTGGGTTCCTTCTTTTCTAGCAGTGATTAGTCAGTACACCAGAAGACAATCTACTCTTCTCTAGAGAGTGTACTGTGTTCTTTAACATGCACATGGACCATACTTCACAAGGGTCAACGACTTGCACGTCTCCGCAAAAAACTGGGCCTTTTTATACTTGCATTCCAACCCTCAAGTAAAAACACAAGTAGGGACGCGGATAGAATTGAACCGGGCACCAGAGGTTAAAAATAGATTTGCATAGTTCAGAGTCCACACAGTGGCTACCACTACTAGTGTAGACGACCGAGCTATGCTGCTCTCTTGAAATAAATATCATCTTGATATCATCATAATGTTGGTGAATATACTGTACCTTAAATGCTAATGTGTTCATTCATATGATTCTACAATATCAAATAATGTAATTCCCAACCTCTTAAAATTTCAGGAACCACTCCTGTAGACTGACACGAGACGCTGAGAGCTTCTTGGATAGCTGATCCGATCTTAACGTCACCGACACCCAATATTACCTTCTTCTTTTTCTTTGGTGACTCTGGTAGATTAGTCTCCAGGAACAGGTGAAGATCTTCATGTATTACACCTAAAATAAATATTCACACAAATTGGAAAAGTTATAAGATATTAGAAAAGGCCTGAGATTTTTGTAATGTTAATGAGTTTTCTTGTTTATAAGCTCACTACCAAATACTGTAAACAAATACCTCCACCCCACCACGGTGTTGACCAGGTTCCTTCAAATTGTATGATAAAAACTGGATTGAAATGTTGGGTTAATGGAAAATTGCTGGTAAATTACTAATTGCTTGACACAGGCATATCATTTTTATTCCTTATTACCTTCTGAAATATTGTTCATATTGTCTAATGCGTTTGTTCCCGACTTGAAAGGTGAGAATGCATGAAGCTTCACCAACCCAGCAAATTTACCAAACTCTGTTACTCCTTGTTCAACAAGATATTGTTGCATAGCCACTTCTTCAAATTCTTGAGCAACGAACAGGGCATAACCCGAGGCATGCTCAAAAAGCATGTACAGATGCTGAAATAAAAAAATTTATCAAAAAAAGTGATCGCTAAATTTGACTAAATATAAAATAAAAGGCGTAGTAGTAGGGCCTAGTCCTATCCATGGCCTAGGTAATATAGCTAGGTAAGTAGCCTAAGGGAGGCCTACAACACTGCCTGCCATTGGGTTACACCAAGCTAGCCTAGCCTGGGCCTCCGCCCTTCATTATTTAGCCATATTGATTCCTGCCGCTTGTTTGTTTGTGTTGGCAGTTCCCACCACGCTACGATTTCATAGATTAAGTTTCTAACAATCAGTTTTGTTTCTCACCATTTCTAACAACTCTAGAGAACTCTTTCTACCTTTCTTTAACTTAACAAATACACGTCAAAGTGATATTTAACCAAGCTTCATAAAAACAATTCTCTCACGTGGAGCACAACAGAACCACCATCCATCATGTAAAATGAGGCACTTTCTCTGGAAGCTCAAAGTCTGATTATAAATGACGTCACGACTCTCATAACACGCGTGCGTCGATCAGTGCGTTTGAGGTAAATTGATAACGCAAAAAATACCGACAGTCCAACACGACTTCGCCCTACTCTATTCATTAAAGATGCACTGTCTGCCATGAGCGATTAATATGAAAAATTCAATTCCATGTTTGAATTGCTTAATTTGTATAGGCCTACTGGTATTAACTTACTATCACTGTAAATATATTTAAGAAAAAAAACAAAAAAAAACCCTTTCAATTATGACAGTTAAAATAATACCATAGCTATATTCTTTTGCATCCTTGTTACAATTACGAATTTTGTATTCAGATGTCTGAATCAGCAAAAGTTATTTTTTCGAACTGTTTCTTTAATTGGAAGTTGATAACTTATTTGATCATTTTATATGAGCTATTCAAAATCTTATATGATTTTTTAAAGTGTTTTTTTTCCAGATTTTTGTGGAAGAGAGTGTAGATATAGGGCCTATCTTTAATGTTGACATTACTTGGATTGATTGATACTCAAAGATGCAGTGTCACATTGGAACACGATTTCTTCTGAGTTTCTAAAGACACAAAAGTAAAAAATAATATTGGACCAACCATCAACCAACGTCACACTGTGGGCCTGATTTTTTTTGGATAATAATAATAATAATAATAATAATAATAATAATAATAATAATAATAATGATAATGATAATGATATCTAGATGTGTATAAGAGACAGGTCGCCTGAAATTATATTATCGTTTTATACACATTTACAACTTTTTATCATTTTGATTTTTCAGGCCAGAGTTTACTGACTAAGAAAAGTTTGGAAAAACACAATGAAAATTCACATGGAGATGACGTCATTGGTGATTGCGATATGGACTCGGAAGGAGGGCATACATTTGGCACATTCATGAGCGGGCTTAGTGACTGCACAAATCCCACTTTTGACCGTGTAAAGCGATACTGGGACTCGCAGTCTGCAAGTCATAAGGAGGTCAGCCATTGAATTAATTAAAAAAAAAATTCAGTTTATGATGCATTTTTTTCAAAAATATGTATTGGGAAATAATGATAAATAAAAATAAACATAAGAAAAGATGTGTATAAGAGACAGGGGATGTACTGGGTTCTTTATAGTGCAAACGAGCCATTGTATACATTGGGCCTTTTTAACATTATTGATAAAACGCATTCTCATCAGTGGCGTAGAAAAATATTTTTCATTGGGGGGGGGGGTGATTGGCGTGTTAGATTCCCCCCATCGCCCGGGATCTACGCCTATGATTCTCACATAAACTCACGTAAACTTGGCAGATGCATATGTGTTGTTTTTAAAAAAAACCTTATGTAGGCCTACTTTGAATTTGTAAGTAAAGCTATCTAGAAAGCAAACTTTTCATAATCTAAAGCGATTGTGAGACCCATCAAATCAGACACCACCATGCCTTATAATGTGGTTCTTTAAAATGAGCAATTCTAAGATGTTTTTTTGAGTTTTGAGGCTGTTTTATAGATTATTTTGTGGGTGGCAATGCATCTTTTAACATTTACGTTCGCGGTAAGCTACTTGTCAACGCGTTTCAGAAAATATGCTTGAAACTCACTACTCAGCTAGCGGAGATTTATAACCGGGATTTAATCTTCAGGAAAAGATGCCCACAGAAATGATGCCGCCCTCAACAATGTAAAAAATTGCCAGAAGTAGATGGATATTTCATTAATTCCCCCACTATTACTAAAGTACTTAAAATGTTTTCATGTTATTATTAAACACCTATTTCTCAATTAAAATTATAAAGAACTTGTGGTGGTATTAACTGTATATTTCTTAATCTCTCTCTTCTCTCTTCCTGGCCTACTGAAAGAGACCTTTTCAATTATCTGGCAACCTTCCCCATGTGTTTTGCAATGAATGTGGTCTGGTCTGTGTCAAAAAAATGAAATCGATGTGGCTGAAACTTTAAAGTGTTTTATGATTAATAGAGCAGCTCGCTTGTAAATTATAAATCATGGTTCGTGGTCCTGGAAGAATTAAAGGAGCATCAACAACTAAGAAAAAAGCAAAGCGATGGAAAAAGGGCCAAAGTTGTGTGTCGAACCCAGCGAATCAAAGTCACAGACAGGCTGCAGTGCGCACCCGGTTCTTACCAAGCAAACCGTCCAATCGGGGTAGGCCTAGGCCTATGCCTACGTTACTTTTTAGGCAAAAACTAGGCCTAGGGGCCTAGACCCTAGCTAGTTACCGCAAAGGCGTACACTGTCTGTAGGCCATAGCAAAGTATAATATAATGCTAATATTATAGGCTAGGCCTAGCTAGGCTAGTAACTACTCTGATTCTTTTGAATTTTAATTGACATTGATTGAGCAAGGAGGTAGGCCTACTGTAGGCTAGGCCTACATTACCTCCTTGCATTGATGAATTGTAATTTGTAAGGAATTTTTACTTTTAACTAATTTGATATATGCTTACCACCATGCTTGGAGTTACTATATATATTGCCTATAGGTTCATCTAAACAAAGATGATAAGAAAGTCTGTTATTTAACAATAACAATTTACCATCCATAATAAAGCCCTCTTCTTCATGATAAAGGTGAGAAACAACTCCAGTCAGAATCAGAATCAAAATGATTTGTCCTCAGAAACTACAGCATTACATTTTAATAATATTAATATGAATGGAATTTTGTTTATTTGATCTGTCGCCTGAAATTATATTATCGTTTTATACACATTTACAACTTTTTATCATTTTGATTTTTCAGGCCAGAGTTTACTGACTAAGAAAAGTTTGGAAAAACACAATGAAAATTCACATGGAGATGACGTCATTGGTGATTGCGATATGGACTCGGAAGGAGGGCATACATTTGGCACATTCATGAGCGGGCTTAGTGACTGCACAAATCCCACTTTTGACCGTGTAAAGCGATACTGGGACTCGCAGTCTGCAAGTCATAAGGAGGTCAGCCATTGAATTAATTAAAAAAAAAATTCAGTTTATGATGCATTTTTTTCAAAAATATGTATTGGGAAATAATGATAAATAAAAATAAACATAAGAAATGTTGACAACATATTTGCACAAAATTTTCAACATTTGCACATATAATCAGTCAAATAATCTACAGCATCAAATACAGGACATACTTTAACTAGGGGGAAATTAAAACATTTTTTGATCTTTGCAACCGTTATTAATAAGCTATTTATATACAGTACTTTTATTTCTTTTCTTTACCCTATATAATTTTTCTGTAATACAAATATATTATTAAATTTTCAAGTGAATTTAAGATTAAATAAATATGAAATATGAAGAATTACCCTATATATAAAGTAGGCATACCTACATATTATGCTAAAATATAAAATGCAGATATTAAATATAAGTTTGTTTTGTACTATAAGGTGTGTGCAGTGCTAGCTGCTGTAACAGAAGTAATCCGGGAAAAAGGGGGCAAGGAAACAGAAACCGAGTATTTTGCAGCGCTTATGACAACACTGGACACTGTTGATGAAGATGATTCCAGGTCTGCTGTCCTTTATCTCCTTAATTTGGTCTTGAAAAGGTAAACCTGTCTGTCAATCAAAATCAATATTTACAGATAATAACTGCTAAATTATTTTAAATATTAATCGATTACTTTTATATATTTAATAAAGTTATTAGATTTTATTTAAAAAAATTAATTCACATTAGCAGATGCATACTGTAAACATTATACTGTTTTATTTATGTATATGTGTTTTAATTTAATGTTTGAATGATCCATATTGTTTTTACAGAAATATATCATAAATATTTTGTATGTATATGTTTATTTTTTATATATATTCAATATTTATTACGATTGTTACATTAATTGGTGTGGATTTGTTAATGATTTCTTTGAAATATTGTTTTACAGAGTTCCAGCAAATGTGATAAAAGTAAAGTTTTCAATGATTTGTAAGTGTTTCATGGAAATCTTAGCACAGAATTCAAACACAACTTCAATTGTCCGATCTTGTCTGCAATGCCTAGCAACGATTTTGCGAATTGTTGACATTGCAACATGGAGTGAGTCCTCTACCATGCAAGTATATCATGGAGTATTAAGTTTTACCACTCACCAAAAACCCAAGGTAATGTTTTCCTTTTTCAAAACAAGACATAAACAATGTTTTTCTCTGCCATGATTTGTTACCATGTACTGCTACCAACAGAAATTAAGGGGACATTTCTTCTTTCGCTTAGGCTAAAGACATTAGAAAATGCTCCTTTTAAAACTATGCATATCCAGCACAAAGATTATTTTTTATTGGACATAAGAGCATTACATTTTGGCATTTCAGGTACGTAAAGCAGCCCAGACTGCAATTTGCTCGATACTAAGAGGTAGTCAGTTCATGGTGTCAAGTCGGGCACCCCCTCATCACCCAGCTGCTTCTCAAACAGCCAAGTTTTGCATCCAACAAGTTGAACAGTGTGGAGGTAAGTAACACGAAAAACACACTTAACACCTCATACTTTATTTTTTTTTTTTATGTTGATGAAAGTTTTTAGATTAGTAAACAATATATTTCTAACATACTTGGCATGGTTTTGAGCAAAGTTCTGTATCCATCAAGTAGAAAAGTCAAGAGTTATGTACCACGCCATTGTCTTTTTTTTTTACTGTTGCGGGGTGTAAAAAAACGTTTAAAAAATTCTTTATTTTATTCATTTCAGCAAAGAGTATTAAAAATTAAAAAAAAAACATACAATGCAGTGTAATGCCAGGGAGCAGCAAAAGTGAAATAAACCACTGTCATTCACAGAAAGTGCTGCTCCTGACATGTTAATATAAATGTAAATCCTTTTGTTTTGAACACCAGCACCAGCCATTATAGAAGTGAATATAAAGATGAAATTTATCATTGAAATGTAATGTTTCTGACACAGGCACTGGGGAAGCAACAACAACTCTGCATATCCTTGGATTGATGAAAGATACATTGCCATGGTTTCCAAAACAGAGTATCAAGTCCTGCTGCGAGACGTTATTAAGAGTAATGACACTAAGCAACCCGGTATGTACCTACACCGCCCTCGATCTTATCAGGGCTACAAGCTCAAATATTACCAAGGATAGCACACATTTCAAATTCTTTCATGGAATTGCTCTGTAATATACAATGTGCACCAGAGATAAGAGTGTACCATTACTATGTGTATAGACAGTGTCCCGAAATCAACACTTCTCTCTTTTGTTATATGAACTACAATGGCGTGTGCTATTTTTAGTTATATCTTCGTATAATTTTTTTATGAGAATATAATATTTCATTTAAGTTATATAAATTTTTAAAAAAGTTTAAACATTGTAAAGTTTTTCTGTCAAAATTGAAAGAGAAACAGAAAGTCTTATGACCTTTGATTTTAAAATTTGCACCAACATAAATAGCAATTTATCATTTGGGTAAGACGATATACAATGTTTACCCTGCAGCTGGTTACTTCAGTTTCAATGCAGTGTCTACACAGCCTTTTCTCTTCGAAGCCAAAGGCCTCATCGCTCCCTGCAGACCTGAACGCTCGAATCATCAATGCTCTTTACGACTACCAGCCTGGTAGCAATGATGCCCAGCAAATGCAGGCCTGGCTTGCTGTCATGGAAACCGCATATATCTGTCTTGTCAGGTTAGCACACATGTCAATTACCTTTGCTGTCATGTGTTGTATAAGCGACATGACCAGAATTCAAAATTTGTGAAACAAAACAAACTTAAGACTTCCTCTTGTTAAATTGTTAAATTTACATTTTTATATAATTTATTTACATATATATATACATTTATGTACAATTGATATACATTTTGTATTTTTTATGGACAAGTTAATTAATAAATCTTTAATCTTGACTATAAAATAACAATAATGACAAGCAAATCCTAAATATTACCATTTTCACAATGTTCTGTTTCCTTCTAAAACTAAGCCAATTAGTATTATTTCAAATTTCTATGAATTAATTTATTAGTATTTTCTAATATTTGCTGCCATTCGTGGTCAGTTGGTATATATATTATATATATTGCATTTTTATGTGTTCCTCTTCAGGTTGGATGAACGTCTTTGTGTCAGTCATCTTCCAAGATTCACCACAGCGGCCATAGCTTGCTTTTTGTCAGATAAGTCTGAGGTAGCTGTTGCTTCTGCCAAGACATTAAAGGTTTGACAAACCCCTCCGACTCTAACATCATTGTTTTTGTCTAACCCCTCTGACTCTAACATCATTGCTTTTGTTTAACCCCTCCGACTAACTCTAACATCAACTCTAACTTGTATCCCTTGTACCCCTAGGTAAAATGCACCTTATAAATTCGTATATTATTATTTTAATTCTATTTTAATGATATAATCTCTGAATTCTTTATTTAGAAAGATCAATTATGTTATTAATACCCAATAAAACTGGTCAAAACAACTTGTTACACTTATTTACAAACATTTTACTATGAAAATCCATAAATTGGTTACCAACTAAAGGCCTGTTTACACTATGGAAATAACAATCCACAATAAAAAGCTAAAAAGCAGTTGTTCATATAGAAAGTAAAAGAAATTAGAGAAGTTTTCACACTAGCACGATTTGATAACAATTTATTGTGTGTAGGCCTATGATAAAAAAATATTTTCACAAATCAATTAAAATGACATCATAATCATAGTAGTAATCGTAATAATAAAAAGTTTTCACACGATTATGACGTTATTTGATTTGTGAAATAATTTTTTTTTTAAATCATCTACATGATAAATCATTATCAAATCATGCTAGTGTGAAAACTTCTCTTATTTCTTTTATTTTCTATATGAGCAATTGCTTTTTAGCTTTTGATCGTTATCGTCATAGTGTAAACAGCCTTAACTTATAGATAATTGAAAAGAGTATCAAAATGGTATTATATAAGAATCTGTTATTAATATTTCTTGATGGTATTCAAGATGAATCAATAACAAAATGATTAAAAACCACTGGTTGATTGTCTCTCAAATCTGTTATTTGGCAAGGAAAATATTTTATTGTTTAATTCTATTGAAACTGATTCAGTTATATAAATATAACAAGTATGAGATTCAATTATATTTTGAGGTATCTTAATTTAAAATACCATGGCAGGACACAGCTTAGGTGAGATAAAATGTACAAATAGCAAATCAAAATATGAATAAAATAGCGTTAAAATTATTAAGATAATATTAAGAATGACAGTAAGCAAAATTTACAGCACATTTTCACAGAATCACTCACTAAACAAAGAACTGAAGAAGTTTATAATAAAACATCAAATTGGATTTAAAAAGCCATATATGAAAGATATTATTGCAAAATTGTTGCTATATTTAAATTATAATTTTATTAGATTACTACAGACATTATACCATTCCCTACAGTTTTTTCATTTTGACATGGTCTTATAATTTGTTTATTTTATTCTGTTTTCTAGACCGTTCTAAAGGAATGTGTAGTGCCCTCTGTTGACTGGTTGAAAATAGAGTTTGCAAGTGGAGCAGTCTCACCAGTGCACAAGATGTTCCATACAATAGAGGGCGGCCTTGCTTACAGATACCATGCCTCCTGGGGTCTTGTGTTACAGGTTATTGGCACATTTATTGAGGTGAGAGAACTCTCGAAAGTCAAGATTTTATATTTTCAATTATATTTTTCTAGTTTAAAAAGGTACCAGCAAACTAAAATGTTTTGTATTTCTGTTCTAGATTGTCCTATACTTTATATGTATTGTTACACAAACAAGATTTTACTCTATTTAATGGTCACTGGTCTATATATGCTGTTAATTTTATATTTTTATATTGCAAAGAGTTTGGTTGGTTACTTTTTATCTAATTTGTGACTTGATGCAGTCATATGTAGATTAAATGGCCCACCAACCATTTATTGACTCCGCCCAATGAGAAGTCATCACGAACAAGTAATTCTTGATAATACTCACATTTTAAGTATCTTTATTTCAACCAAATTATAGCGATTTGTTGACACATAATATGATTTATTTTTTTATAGATTTTAGGAAAAGAATGTCACCACATGATGAGCAAGTGCCTGCAAACAATGGCAGATTTAAGAAGCACAAATCAGTTTCCTTATACCGTGGAGCTTGATAAGACAATGGGGTCGGCGGTGAAGCACATGGGGCCTAAGACCGTTCTCAGTGTGGTACCACTGCACATTAGTGGAGATGAGTAAGTGGAAGCATTAAGATTTCAGTACAAGTCAAATAACGTTTAGCTACTAGATAAGTAAATACAAAATCGTGGCTGGTACCTGGGAACTTGCGGCAACTACAGAGCAGTGCACCCAAGTTGGGGAATTATGCAGTACACCAGAGACAATAGGTAGTTTTTTTCTGTGCGACGTTAACCTTAACTTTAACTTTAGTACCCAACATGTACAGCGATAGCTCCGCCCCTTTTGTAAACAAATTGAAATATGCATGCGCAAACCCGTAACTAATGCACGTAAAGCGCATAAAACCCTAAAAATTAACATAGTCCACAATGCAAGATGAATAGATTATGACGTCATTCGTTAACATTAAGGTTAACGTCGTGCGGCGAAAACTACCTTCCTATTCATTGTAGATGTTATAATTTGATACTAGAGCATGTTATCATGTTATGTGAACACATTAAGTTTAACATTTAATTACCATTTAATTGTAATGTAATACTAGTTTTTTAATTGAAATGTAATACTTGATTTATTGGATAAAATCATCCTAGTTTGCTGCTAATACCATAGATGAAAAATATCTTATTATACACATTTTTTATATGATAAATTGTTTTATCTGGTCTTCTTTAAATTGTCATAATGTTCTATATAATTATTAGCTTTTGTGGTTTTTTTTCAGTGATAATTATGAATTTCCACGTAGTTGGCTGATCCCTGTAATGAGAGAAAATATTTGCAATACTGAACTGCAATTTTTCAACAGATACTTCTTACCTCTTGCAGCTAAATTGCGAACGAAGTGTAAGTAATATCTGAAATTGCTTTTACTTTTTTTTCTCTCATATTTTGCTATGTAATTTTATTTTTAATATTTGTTGGTTTCAAATACTATAATGATAATGCTGTATTTTTTTTCTTTTGTTATTTGATTTACTATAAAGCCAAACAAAAAAAACATGTTGCTTATTTGGGATTTAGGAAAAAGAAAAGATTGAGACACTTAAACACACATATTTGCATACTTTTGATTTTCCTAGAACTCACCTTAAATCTGATCCAAAGGGCTTCTTTGCCCAGGCGCCTGTGATTTGGAATCAGCTTTCACTTAACATCATTCAGTCTTCATGTCTTCACCAATTCAAGTCTCCCCTTAAAACTCATCTCTTCCAATAGATTAGTGGTCTTATAGCACTGTAAGACACCACGGGCGGATTGCTATAAGCGGTCTTTAGACAGTCTTTACGGTTAGCCGGCTATAATCGTGACGTCACTACTGGTCTATGATTATAGACCGTTGCTATACCACGGTCTAACCAGTTAGCCGTCTTGAATTTTAACGCCTGCTCGGAGGAGGCTTATAACGTCTTAAATCATTTTCATCAAGGCGTTCTGCTGATTAATTCAACAGTGCAATGGCAAGTCCTAGGCTTAGATCGTCAAAGTCGGAGAATCGAACGACGAATATTCCGCACGCTTCTCAGCGTCTGAAAATAGGTCTACGTTTATTTATGTTCATTTCGATACATTTGCGTGCATTGAGCACGCATGACATCGCCCCCAAACTTACGTTACCAGGGAGTGCTTGTTTGCATTTCAATACACAAAGTGGTCTTAGGGAAGACTGTTTTATAGCAATGCTGGCTTTATTCGAGAAGTTAAGACTACCAGTTATGACCGTTCCATAGCAATCCGCCCCAGTAAAGAGCGCTTTATAAATGGTCATTTTTATTATTAATTATTATTATGAATATATATTTATGCCATATGTAGACACACACATGAGATAATGTTTAGATCTAAGGAAATAATACACAAAGGGACCAGTAACATTTTGTTGCATTAATTGACCTTATAATATGTTTTGTCGTTACAGCTCTGCAGTTGACCCAAGCGGGTCGTGGTGTTGAAGCCAAAACATATGACATTCTTCAGAGTCAAATCTGGTCTTTGCTGCCTGGTTTTTGTAAGAACCCAACCGATTTATGTGCATCATTCAAAGACATTGCTAGAATACTTGGATCTGCTCTTAGTGACCGACCTGACCTGAGGAAAGATGTGTGTAGTGCCCTCAGGCACCTTATCGCACACAATATGGAAAATGGTAAATATATGTTTTCAGTTAGTTTTATTGGAAAAATCCAATCATTTATCTAATTTACTGTCAACCCCATTTATGAACACCCTGGGACAAAACAGTTGTCATAAATATTAATTGGTCGTAAATCTGAATTTGGGTCACCCTAAGGTAAATTCTAAATTCATCCCATATTTTACATGTATTTAAACTATATGTAGCAAAGACAAGTCAAACCAGTCACTCATTGCAAATCCTGTTTCTGAGATAATGACCAAAAATTCTGGAGTGTAAAAATTTTTGAAATATATTTAATTGCACTGAACTAACCCTTATATATCTATACATCATGCTATGCTGTTATTTTCCCAATTTTCATTGTTAAAACAACAATTTTTAACAATTTGGTGATGGTTTCAGCCTAAGAAATGCCAGAAAATTGTAAACTTTGAAGGCTGATTTCTGAAATATTGTTCTTTAAACAGCTGTATGTTTAAACTCCTGTAACTTCATAATGAAATGTTGGATTTAAATGATTCTTTTACCATTTTATAGCTCTCATTTTACTGTTTCACTCTGTATGTATTAATAACTAAAAACAGATTTTTGCGACGAGTGACTGGTTTGGCTTGTGTTTGCTGCAAATACGCTACAGTATGTTGTTTGGAACTGATGTATACCGAAAAAAAATTATTGCATAAACCAAGACTATATTTTTAATATAAGACCTTTATACAACTACACAAATGAAAATGTTCATAATTTTAAACCTTAATGAACATACAATCATCAATTATTTAATGGTGTACCTTTGCTTCACTTTTGGCCTGTATGCCAATTTTAATATAAGCAGTTAATAATTTATGTGGTTGATTCCTGTTAAACCTTTTGTCTTAACTGAAACGTCCACTGAATAATCTCATAAGATGACATAATGCATGCTCCATCCAGCTATTGAAATGCATGCCATTGTGCTGAGATTCAATATTTCAACATTAATTATGTCATCATCAAGAATAAATTCCTGATAACTAACATAATTAATGTTGAATCCCAACACGATGGCATGCATTTTAATACTTGGAGTATGTAATATACTTTCCTTTTGTTGCATATATTTAGATTTATTCAACTGAAATTTTAAAAGTGTATACTTAGTATGTATTTGTTATGTTATGTTAAAGTTATGTTGAAATATTTTGATAATAGAAGGCACTATTTAAATGCTTAAAAGGTTTGAGTTTGTAAATGTATTTTATTGAATCCAATTATCCATGTAATTTACTGTCAAACCCATTTATGTTCACTTTGAAACTGAACAGTTGTCATAAATTGGAATTGGTTGTAAATAAGAATTTTCAAACAGATCTAAAACTAAATGCTTTAATGCAGCCTAGGCTAGCTGCCTCTACAACCACATGCCTATTGTCTGGGATCAAGGCCAATTATTAATAATCATGGCCAACTGTTGACCCTCTTGTGAGACGTACCTAGTGTCACTGTGACACGGTGACGTTGATCTTCAAGGGCCTAGGGAGAATGCCACCTCGTTTTGTATTGTAAGTTAGGAAGTTTGTTCAAGTTAGTAATAATGTATTGGATTAAAGTCCTAATCCGTCTAATCCATTGTGTATTGTATTTCCAATAATAAAATCTGTCAATGTAATTAACGAAGTAAGTTTAATCTTAAGTAATTAAGATGTCACTCATTGCCAATATTGTATTTCTTTACTTGACATTTTCCTCTTGTTCTTTTCAGAAGACAACAAGGTGGAACTTGCGAGATTTGTCAAGAATTTTCTCCCAATCCTGTTCAACATTTACTCCAAGAGTAACCCCAAGGAAAGAGATCCCGACCATTTTATTGTCTTTGAAACAATCAAATCATATTTAATGATATCCGATAGTAAAGTATGTTCAAGGAAATTTAATAATTATATTTTATTTTTGTATATTATTATTATTTATTATTATATTTTATTTTTATTATATTATTATTCTTTAAAATTTTTATTTTATTTATTTATTTGTTTTTTATTTTTTAAATATTAAATTTAATTTTTATATATTTTTTTATGATATATATTAATTATTAGTTATTAAATGAAAATTGTTGAACTTTTGTTCTTAGAAAATATATTTACTCACTAGGAATTTTCTATTATTAAAGCATCAACATTCATCAGAATAATGATTCAAAGATGTTAGGCCTTATGGTCAATGACCTTTCGGATACTTGACCGTAAGCATCAGATCATGCTGATGGAAGGTAAAGCATTAATCAAATTCCTAGGGAATAAATTTTATTTTTGTTAGCAATGCAAGTTCAAAGGTTTTCATTTATGTGTCACCAAAACAGATGAACTTTCATCCTATAATATATTGTTATTTCTATGATTATTTATTATTTATATGATTATATAATTTGTATATATAATTTTAAAAATAATTAAAACTCTTGTGTTTTGAGACCTATTCATTCATCCACCTGTTTATCCACCCATTTATTCATCCTTTCATCCATCTGTCCCTCTCTCCATCCATTAATTAATTAATTTGTTATATTTTATATTTATAAATTTATGTAATTTACTTTTAGCTATTGATAGTTCCAGTTCACTTTTTAATAATATTGTCGGGTTTTTGCAGCTTTTCACTCATTAATTTTATTTAGTTTTTATTTATTTTTTTGTTGTATTTCCAAAGACCAAATAAATAATATTATTATTATTATTATATTATATGATTTTTGTTTATTCTGGTTATATATTTAATTTATTTTTTAATATTACAGATTTATGTGCTTATTAATTTATTTCTGTTACATTTTTTCAAATGCAATTTCTGCTTTGGTAATGTATATTAGAATATTGTATTAGCTTTTAAAACAAGTGGTTATAAATTGTGGTACCTTTATCGAAGACTACTTGTACATTTTTGTTGAGTTTTTAAAATAATGTAAAAGTTATAATACAATATTATAGTACTAATAGTTACTGATTTTAATACTTCCAGTTGACCTGTAACTTCTTTGATAAAGTATGCTCTAAACTGTCTGACAAAAGCTCAGAAAAGGCAGCTATCATGGATTTAGCAATTGCAATGGTAACTTACGTAGATGAGAACAGATTGTCTTCAATATATAAGATAATTACCAAACAATTTGAGGTGAGATTTGCTACTTTATCAATTTACATTTATTATAAGGAATTTAAATATATCTGGCTAAACAGAAGCAAGAAAAGTGATCTTGCTGTTTAAAAATGTTAATTTATGTAAGCAATTTTTAATTTTTTTTGTCTAAAATGTTTTAGACATTTGGGTAGTGTACAGTTTTAAATTTCCGTCTGTTACACTGATATCATTAAAATTACATTTAATGGTTTATTCTTTATTTAATCTTGTATCAGGTATCAAAATATCTTTAATTTTTTAACACAGGATGATGATCGAACTGTACAGAAAAAAGCCTACAGAATATTGGAAGAAATATGTGGGAGCAAGCTGGAATCGACGCAACGCTTCATCGACTCTCATCTGAGCGATTTACAAGAAGTGTTATTAAAGAGTTTGGCAGCAGCATCACCATCTTCAAAGGCAGTAGGTTGAATAACAAACTATTAAGCTCTATCTAGACTACTAAATTTTATTTGACATAGAAACTATTGACATCCAACAGTTTCTATGTCATGATGTGCCTATATATGGTCATGATGTGCCTATATATGGTCATGATGTGCCCATATATGGTCATGATGTGCCCATATATAGTCATGATGTGCCTATATATGGTCATGATGTGATGTTATCATGACCATATTTAGGCATGTCACATGATTTTGATAGTCTGGACAGGGCCTTAAGATGCCCAAGTATGACGTTTGGAAATCAGGGCCGTGTTATTGGGAATTAACTTTTTTTTTTATTGTAAGGCTAGGCCTAATTTTCAAGTTCAGTGCCAAACATTCCACAAGCCCTTGCATTTTGGTTGGTATGGTTGGTTGGTAAACACAGAGCTAGGTTAAGGTATCAAATTTATTAATGAAAGCTAGAAGTGGACTTTTGAAATGCTGTACAAGTAGTCTGGTGCATTCTTTGTAAACAAAAAAAAAATTACCACCAACAGACTATCATATTTTATTTGACAAAAAACATGTGACATGCCTAAATATGGTCATGATGACATCACATCATGACCATATATAGGCACATCATCACTATATGTAGGCATCCAACAGTTCTTGTCAAGGAACATTTGATAGTTTGCACATGGTTTAACAGATATCATTATTAGACAATTAGAGATGATTTTTGGATGGAGTTAGTAGGAAAAGGAGGATTTGAGGAGGAATGATAAACATCAGCATAACAATAGCGAAGGTATAATTGCTAAGGTTTGTGCAAACCCAGCTTGCAAGTAGGAACTGATGAGAAAATAATGAACAGAATAATAATGATTTATTCTTTTTTAATGCACCAATTCCATAGAGATATGTTCAGATATTCAGTACAGAACGATTTAAAAACAGACACACTTAAACTACAGCAATAAAATTGATGAATTCAAGTTAATGAACCGGTAAAGATAAACGTTCAAGAAAAATATGCAATGACTGGGAACAAATGCATGGCACAAACCCAATTACAGCATGACAATAATAAATCTTCTAGAAATATTATTCAAATCATACAAGGGAACATACAAGAAACACCAATGATTTGACATAGATATCGTAAGTTCAAACATACGAATACAATAGTAAGAATAAGTGGGATTTAACTGGTAGCAGTAGTGGAGCCTGTGTAGAAAGGGGACTTAATCCCCATTGTAGAGAGAAGGTTAAGCACCCTGTTGGCTGGCAAAACTGCTTAAATGTGTAAGATTTTTCTGTGCACTAGCCCTTCACAAGAGCTTACCACTAGACCCTAACTGGGGACACGCAATCCCCCTGGCTCCCACAAAAAAAAAATTAAAAAAATTGAAAGACCCTTCTACTTAGGTTTACGCTCTCCTTAAGCCCTGCCCATAACTGGCTGAGGTCTGTAGCTCATCTGATAAGGAAGATTAGGGAGAGATTGATAAACATAAAAATAACATAATGATGGTATTATCGAGATTACAGGTAAGGCCCGTAATATTGGCTGGTAAAGAGATTTTGAGGAGAGTATAATAAAACATAATATGATTGTTAATCGTATCGTTTCTTTTTTTACAGCCGAGGCTACGTTGCTTGGTCCAGATTGTAAAACGCCTGCCTCCTGGTCAACATGAGTTCCTACAGGCCATTATCCCCGAGGTGATGTTATGCACAAAAGAAATCAATACCAAGGCAAGGGGGTCTGCTTTTACCCTTCTCATTGAAACCAGCAATGCCATGCTTCGATGGGAACCAGATGATAGACCAGGTGACATGTTTTTCAACATTTGCATTTGATAAATTTGATGTTCTTTTTTTTAAACAAAAGAGGTGAACGAATACTATTCAATGGAAAAAATTATTCTGCATTAGTAAATAGTGACATGAAATAATTTGTAATGGAATATGCACCCTGTTTTCATTAAAAGGTCGAAAAAAAGGGTAGTTATGTTTTTTAAAATTTATTCATATATGTTTTATATGTATTTTGTAGAGTGTCTTGGCAAGTTCTTGGATTTGGTTGTCGCTGGGTTTGCCGGGTCACCGCAGATGATAAGTGCTACTATACTGTCCCTCACAAGGATAGTCTATGAATACAAAGGTATATGATTCAGCTGCACTTACTGATATTAGTATTGACCAATCAAATTACAATGTACATCCCATTAATGAGTCGTGCCATCCCAAAAATAGCATCAGTGAATGAAAAAAGAAAATATATTTTTTTTAATATATTCTTATTCTCCCTGCACATTGTTGACTGTAAAAAGATGGGTCATATACTGGAATCAACTTACTATAACCAAAGTTACGAGTAAAAGTATTATAGTTTCTCTGTACTGAAGTATACAATACTACCACATTCTAATGCTAATTACTAAGTTTAGCAATTAGCGACAAGAAGAGTGGGTTTACTAATTGCAAAAACTGATTTAAACAAATCGATATTCAAGTTTGAATAACTGCCAATCACAGTGTTACTGTAAATAGGATTTACATTGTTATTACAAGCCCTGGTATGTCCTTACCTGCCAACTTCCGCTATGTTGAGCGCACTTAAGATGTGCTGAAAAAAACGGCATTGAATTTAAGTGGTATGTTTAGTAGTAGTCTGTTAAATTGACAACTGCCAGTTCTACCAGTGTAAATTATAACTGTGTCACGGAATTAAAACTTATATACAACATATGTACAAAGAGTAAAAATAGCAAGGTGTCCAACTACCCTGATTTTGCATGCAACCAATGAAATGACAAAAAGTACTATCATAAGTTCGGTGGAGTCATATTAAATTTTGAATAGAGTTCAAAATATGCTGACATTCCATTCCGTTATTTTTTTTATGCCTGGGTTGAAAAAAAAATTCTTCTTTGGCAGAGGTAATAACCCACCTGTGCTTAATATGCAAATAAGCATTTGCATATGGATTCAAGAGTGAGACAACTTAATTTATGATGATTTATTTATTAGTCAAGTTATTATGCACCCACAAATTATGTAAATTAAGTATTTATTTTTTGAGACAATATTCAACCTCTATTAACACTGGAGCAATAGTCAGAGAGAGTTCCATTGTGTAAGAGGTGTGCTATCCGCTGTTGAATGCGAATTAGAATAAAAATTTTGTTTTTCAGAAATTCTAACAGGTGAAACACTAGACCAGATGATAACAGCCATGTGCACCTTGCTTTCTTCAAAAACTAGAGAGATAGTCCGGTCCGCACTTGGTTTTGTCAAAGTGCTGTTGACAATTCTAGATGAGGCGACACTTGCCCAGTTTGTTGAATCTCTGGTAAAGGCATTTTGATACTTGAGTTTTGAAGGAGTATTATAATAATATGTTAATTCCAATTCTTTCTAACTCATTAATAATTATTATATATTAAAACAAAATTTTATTAGTAATTATTGATGCAATGAATTTAAGTGACAATTTTTTGATGTTATTTTTTTTCAGTAATTGGTAATTAAGTGTCTATTTTTATAAATTGTATTAATTTTGGAAGTTCAACAACAATTATAATATATGTAATTGAAATGATTAATTTTAATTGGTAATTTTTGATATACCCTAAATTTTAATTCTGATTATTTATTAATATATAATTCATTAACAATTTTTTAAAATTTTGTATTGGTAATAATTGAAATACAGTACTTTTAATTGACAACTGTTTGATTTACAAAGTAATTGGTAATTAAGAGTGTATTTTTATTAATTGTGGAATCTTGTAAGTTTAATGTTTTCAGCCTCCGAGCTGCTTGTTGGGGATGTTTTATACCTGAATATTATAAGTAAATAAATAAAAGCAAGATTGGACAAGCATACTCCAGGCAGAAAAAAATGCGCAATAATATGTGTTTTCTGAGAAGCCTAATACAGTTGTTTATATTTAAAAAAAGTTGAATCACAAATCTACAATGGGAGTAAACAAATATGGCTGAAAAGCAAATCATTCAAAAATATCTTGATGTAATTATTATGATCTTTATGGAGTAAAAAATAAATTTCATTAATTTCACAACAATTTGAAAGATGCTTCAGAAATATTAACCATAGCTGAATTTCTTTTTTGGTTAGGTGGTAAGCATAACTTCCTTGAGTGAGCCAAACAGAAGAGCTCTGAGAAAACCAATGAAGTCAATCTATGTGAGACTGATCAGAAAGTATGGGTAAGGAGAGACAGATATGTTTTTTCTATGCCATTCTTTGACCTTTCATCTTTTCTTACTACTTTTGCATTATAAACATTCTCTCTTTAATCAGCTTCTAAACATTCTCTATTCAATCAGCTTCTTGCCATGAATTAAATCAGTCTTCATTATGACCTGGCCCTTGGCTCAAGTAATATTATTAACCAATCAGGAAAGCTGTTAATTTTTAATTACAAGTCTCTCTGTACTATTGTAATTGGTTTTTGCTTGTTATATAACTGTAGTTAATGCGGATAATGGCTTGAGATAACTCAAGTGACAATGAACTAATTGATTGATTGATTAACTCCTTCTTTTACGCACTCTTCATCCATTTTTGGCTTTGTACAGCAGTTGCTTTTCAGGTTTTTATTTATTTTATTTTTTTCTTCTTTAGACACCATTTTCGCGAATTTGAAATGAAAATGTAACCTGGCAACTATAATACCACTGGGGGACTTTCAGAATCCTAGCATTTCGCTATACGTAGTTACCATCACGGATTAAATCAACGATTAAAAGGCTCTTTTAATGTTTACATACAACAATTAGCAAGATCGTATCTGTTGTCTACTGCTGCTATAGCAAAGATCTATCGGTGCTATCAGCTGCACGCTCCCCTATTTGTAACTAGCCAGCTTCACATGCTAGGCCGCTAGTGCCCCAGTGAATTGCAAGATGTTGGAGGTTCTGTTTCAAAATAGATCCAATAAAATGGTCTATAATGGCTGTCCTTTTTTATCTACTGTTTTCTCACAGAGACTAGTTATGCTTTAATAACCAATTCTCATACTGAGACTTGCAGAGTGAAATTGTTTTAGTTGTGAGAAACAATCCTACTGTCCCAGGAATTAAAGCCTGGGATTTGGAGGCAAGCATCTTAACCACCGAGCGATTCAACTCTACTGTGATGTTGAGGTTTCATTCGTCCACTGTGTATTTCGCTTGTGTCCTTGGGCAGGACACATTATCAAAATTGCCTCTCACCACATGTGGGTACCTAGTAGGTTCAAATACCAATATGCTTATTTCTTCCAGGGAGCATGTGATGTGTTCCGAGTTTCGAGTGGCCGAGCGCAAGATAGGGGCACATTAACTACAGCCTTAACATCGGGGCCGGTACTTGCCGATTCTTGCCCAAGGTTCAGACACTGGCTCGTGTGCACAAATTCATTGTATCTTTGGGAACAGTAGTGGTTACCCCGATATTATGTTTCATTTCAGCCCCCGTCGTTGTGGAATAATGAACATGTAGCTACCCTCTTTACAGCTGCTAGGTAGTCAGGGACCACACCCATACTCAATTAGCACAATGACACTGCAAGTTATAGGTTATTCTCCAACATTTACCTTTACAAGTTAACATTTGGAGTAAATAAATTATTAAGTTTCGATATTTTGACTGTTATTTTCTTGTAACTATCTTGCTGTATCTTTCATCTCTGCATTTAATTCACATGGAGCTGATGTAACAACAAATTAAACCGGGCTGCGTTGTTTGACGCTGTCTGAGGTGACCTCAAATTTTAAAGCTGTTTTTCTCAGTGCACTAATTCTGAAGCTACTTAATTATAGAATATAATCATTTAAAAAAAAAACATGTTTTTGATGATTTGTTTAATACATTGACTGGAGAAATAGTGTGAAATGCATTTTATCTTATTTTTGTACCTCATCTTTTCCAACAACCACCTTTCTTGAACTCGTTCTAATACACCCCCATTAATGATGACTAATTACAGTACTTTTTTTTTCATCCAAATCAAATGCACATTTCAAAGCTTCCTAATCTGTATAGATCTTCTTTTCCTAATATAATGATCATACAAATTGTAAAACGTGAAGTATTTATAGATATTTATTACTTCACAGATACATTGTGTTATACAAAGAGTTCGGGTGTGAAGAGTATATATGTTTAATGCAGTTTAATCCTGATTATTACATGAACAAAATAGTGATTAATAACTTACATTGTGGATAATGACACTAATGTAAGCTGTATCATTATGGATTACCCCCCTCAGGGAACTCTGCTTGTTGCAGAGGTGTTTGATCTAATAAACGGGTAATGATGTGTAGTCTTTGGCCTTAAGCGCTCTCTATATAATTCATTGATCATTAACATATATAAAATCAAATGCATAAATTTATCAATACCAGTACACTATGGTGACAACATATAAACTATAAATATTATAGGTATAACCAACATTATAGTTTATGAAACGCGTTTTACACAATTGCATTTTTTAGGAATTCCATTATCTAAAATATTGTGTTTTTGTGTTGAACTTATGAACCTGAAAATAATAAAATTTAATAGAATTTTTAGCTTTTTATGTTTATGTAGGTCAGTAGAATTAAATATAAAATTTGAATGAGAATTTTTTCTAGGAAAATTAATAGACAATAGCATTCCAGTTCTTTACCTGAACTGTTGAAGCTGCTTGCAATTAATAAAGGTTTGTGGAGTAAAACTTACTTAAATCAGCCATTCCAGAATTCTTCAGATCTGTGTCTTATTTGAAGTAACCTTTTGAATGAGTGAAGTTTTTGGTGGCGGATCTAGGAATTCGTAATAGAGGGGGCCCAGGAAGGGACTTTAACAGACAGACAGTCTTGACCACCTCAGCCCCAATTTATGATTATGGCACCATAGATGGCCAGAAATGGCAGTCTCAGACTTAAATTTTTTTTATTACCCCCAGTCATTGGATCAAGCACATATGGAACACATACTCAGGTCGCTGGGGAAAGGACACATACTCAGGTCCCTGGGGGGGAAATCATTAACATTGCAGCTGTAATCAGTGCATTTTGTGTTTGAAGCTACCAGGTACTCGTGGGTGAAGAGAGACAACCTGGGTGGAGAGAGACAACCTAAGTGTATTGCCTTAGGACACAAGACAAATACACAAAGACGGATGAACCTCCGAACTCACAGTTGAGAGGTAGAACCACATCTGCTACGCCAAATTGTTGCTACTTTATTATCTAAGTAATAACTTAAATCTGATATAATGAATTAAATTTTTTTTTCTGCTTCCTTTCAGTTATGAGATGATTATTAAGTTGATTCCTGCAGACCAGCAGAAGGTGGTACATAATATCAAGAAGATCCAAGAAAGGCGGAAGAGAAGGAGAGCACTAAAGGACACTCAAGAAGAAAGTGATGATGAAGAGAATGAGGCGTTACTACCTGCAAAGTCTCGACCAGAAACGTATGTTGTTTTAGGTTATAAATTAAAGATATTTAAAATTTAAAGGAGTAGGGGTTTACCCCAGTGTACTAGTCCACATTTCTATTTCTGTGGGCTGGCACCAGTCTACCGGGTAGCTCAGACGTAAAGTGACCCATAAGGTAGAAGGAATTTTTTTAAAAAGCTTTTATCCTGAAGCTATCAGGCTGTTAAATGAACAACTGTTATTTTTCCTGGATGATAAGTTTTTTTTTTTTTTGGTTTTGTAATTTAATTTTTTAATTTATGAGATTTGTGATTGATTTTGTAAGTTAAGCGACCATCATATTATGAAATACCAATATTGTTTAACAAATGGTAAAATAAATCAAACTTGAAGTTACTCTACATGCTAATCCATGCCTTTAGCATTTTGAGGCTTTGTATAAAGTGCTATATAAATCTAACTAGATTACATAGATATATTTTAAAATTTACAGTTTTATACTTAGGCTGCCATCCATGACAGTAGTCTGATTATGTGGTTGATGACTGTTTACCTAAGTTTACTGTATCTAGTGTGGAGATTAGTTCTTTATGTTTTATATTTTCGTTTTAAATATTGTTTTGTGCAATGGTGCTCTATGCTATATAAACCATGTTTCTGAAATATAGTTTATCGTAATTATTATTGCAGTTTAAAACTATCTTTTTTATTTCATGCACAGAATTGAAGAAATACTTCAAGAGTCTGACTCGGACAGTGATGATGAGAAGGACACAAAGAAACCGGGAGGTCGTAAAGTAAAACCAAAAGAGAATGTAAAGAGGGGTGCTGCATGGTTAAGAGAGGGCAAAGATGACACACTTCTTGACTTTCTTGATCCGTCTGTCTCCAAAAGAGTTCTTGGTGAGTTCATCTTTACTAACCTGATAAACCGTTTTTTTTGTTTTTTGTTTCTTTTTTCTACAAAAGAATGTGTTAAAATATCATTAAGTTGTTGATAAAATATATTTGTAAAATAAGATTGAGTATTTGATTTGATCTCCCGAATGTGGATTCTTCCAACTTGGGACCCCTGTTGAGTGCCCGTCTTCGATTCCCTTAGGCACCAAATACCATGGTTTTGGCAGACCTAACTGAAATTAAATGCATACAGTATTTGGGTAAGACGAGTGCAAGACTTGATGTGTGGTTACCGAGGAATGGTTTATACTGAATGAGTAACGGCATAGAGTAATTCATTCTAAAACGCTTGGAAGAAAACTTTCAAACAAACATTCAGCTTACTCTGTTGACAGGTTGTGAAAGTGGTTCACACTAGGTTTCAGCCCTAGGTGCGAGTATTTTATGGCTTATAAGTTAAATAAACATAAATATATTGTGGCCACTTCCCATCAATATTGATGGTAACATCAGGTCTCATTTACCAAGACATACAAAAAAAATTCGTCCTAATACCTGGAAGAGCACCGGAAGGCCGCTATCCAGTGGCTCGTTTTAAAACTGTTTTTTGCTGATTTCAACCTTTCATAAATTTACAGTTTTATACTTAGGCTGCCATCCATGACAGTAGTCTGATTATGTGGTTGATGACTGTTTACCTAAGTTTACTGTATCTAGTGTGGAGATTAGTTCTTTATGTTTTATATTTTCGTTTTAAATATTGTTTTGTGCAATGGTGCTCTATGCTATATAAACCATGTTTCTGAAATATAGTTTATCGTAATTATTATTGCAGTTTAAAACTATCTTTTTTATTTCATGCACAGAATTGAAGAAATACTTCAAGAGTCTGACTCAGACAGTGATGACGAGAAGGACACAAAGAAACCGGGAGGTCGTAAAGTAAAACCAAAAGAGAATGTAAAGAGGGGTGCTGCATGGTTAAGAGAGGGCAAAGATGACACACTTCTTGACTTTCTTGATCCGTCTGTCTCCAAAAGAGTTCTTGGTGAGTTCATCTTTACTAACCTGATAAACTATTTTTTTTTTAAATAAAAAAAATAAAAATAAAATAAAATAAGATTGCGTATTTGATTTGATCTCCCGAATGTGGATTCTTCAAACTTGGGACCCCTGTTTAGTGCCCGTCTTCGATTCCCTTAGGCACCAAATACCATGGTTTTGGCAGACCTAACTGAAATTAAATGCATACAGTATTTAGGTAGACGAGTGCAAGACTTGATGTGGGGTTACCGAGAAATGGTTTATACTGAATGAGTAACGGCATAGAGTAATTCATTCTAAAACGCTTGGAAGAAAACATTCAAACAAACATTCAGCTTACACTGTTGACAGGTTGTGAAAGTGGTTCACACTAGGTTTCAGCCCTAGGTGCGAGTATTTCATGGCTTATAAATTAAATAAACATAAATATATTGTGGCCACCTCCCATCAATATTGATGGTAACATCAGGTCTCATTTACCAAGACATACAAAAAAAATTCGTCCTAATACCTGGAAGAGCGCCGGAAGGCCGCTATCCAGTGGCTCGTTTTAAAACAGTTTTTTTGCTGATTTCAACCTTCCATTGCTTATGGTTTGAGTTGTTTGATTGCTGTTGATGATTTGTCCGCTTACTGTGTTGAGTCTTTTTGACAACTGAGATTGGGGAGAGACATAATTTAATTGAATTTTTTCCTATGCAAACTTAGCCTGGTTGAGCCTTTGTATATGAGTATACGAGACGCACTTAATTGCTTCTCGTCGTTCCTTTTTTTTGAGATACTCGCTATTGGACGGAGCCTAACACCGCCATCAACGATTTATGCTTGCTGCATACCCACCTGGCTTGCATTCCGTTTTATTTACTTGCTGAGTGTAGCTATGTGTCGTGTTACGTATTGTTCAGGACAGCTTAAAGCCATTAATGCTGTGCCTGGGAATAAACCTAGACCCCATCCGCCAATATGGGAGTGGACTAAGCAGCTTGGCATTGCTAAACCACGCACGAGAAGAGGGTGTAGATCTGGTAAGAGAAGTAGGCCCTTAAACTGTTTAATAACACATACGTCTAAACACATGTCAAGTTCCAGTACTTCTGGTAGTTGGCCTAGGCATTATGTAGCAGAGGTGCTACCCAATAGTAATAGAAGGATACATTCTCCTTTCTTACCTAAGCTGATGGTCACTAATGCTCGGTCAATAATGAACCAAGTTGATGAACTTCGTATGCTAATTAATGATAAGCAACCTGATGTTTGTTGCATATGTGAATCCTGGATAACATCAGATACCGCCACGGAGCGATATTCTATCGAAGGCTATAATGTTTTTAATAATTGCAGGTTAAATAGAAAAGGTGGAGGAATACTAACTTATGTTAAAGACAACATTGCTGCAGAAATCTTCTCGGATATTGTAATGAGTAATTTTTATAATGAATAATTTTATATATAGATTTGTACATTTGAATGTAATTCTTTTTAAGTAATTTTGTAATGAATTTATTTTGTTGTATGTCTGATTGAATAAATATATACCTGAAATAAATAAAATAATAATAAATAAAAATAAAATGTATAATATCATGGTTTTGGCAGACCCAACTAAAAATGTTCCCTTCATTCAATAAATACATTAAAATATATAGTGATTTCAATGCAGTTTTAAAAACATGGATGATTTTTGTGTATACAGTGCTCTATATTGAATTAGTATGATAGTGTTGCAAGTAATATTGTAATGGTGATTTGGGTAGAATGAGCACAGGACTCGATGTGTGACTATTGGGAAATGGTATACTAAAAATCAATAACAGCATACAGTAAATGTAATTCCATTCTAAAAAACTTGAAATATAAAACAATCTGATAGTTACTATATCATTTTTTAATTTTCTTCTAAACAGAGATATTCAAAGACTACTTTTAATGGCGGTCTTTGATTAGAGGGAATTTTATTTGAGACCAATGCTATTTTTATGTCATCCGTTCATCAGTTCCTGATGCTGGGAGACAGCATACAGTTTCACTGGAGTACACTTAGTTTCTAGGTGTAGACATAGTTTCTAGGTGTACACTTTTTTTGGTGACTGTTAAGTCCACTCTGATCGGCAAATGCCTTCACATTTATGGCACTTGAACGATTGAATCTGACTATGAGATAATGCAGCGTGTTGAATGCCTAGGAACCATTTTTGATCTTGACGGACTGCTCCACTGTGTATTGCCTGACGCCAACCTGTTCTGTCAGTTAATATTGATTCAAATCTCGCTGGATTGATGTTGAAGACCACTAAAACCCCCGTCACGAAAGTGGTCTTTAATTGGAGGGAGACCTGTATCTGGCTTTGTTTGGAGTTCATATTTTGCATCCAGCTATTGTTTAAATGTCTTCAATTTAACTTTTATTACATTGCAATAAAATGTGACATTTGTTATACATGCTGTCATGTTAGAGATTTATGTGTGATTTAAAAGTAACAAATTATGTTATGGAATTTTTGAAATGTTTACATTAATATTTATTTAAATGGTAGTATATATAGGTCAATTTGTCCAGAGACCTATTAATCACAGATTATTTTATAATCTGCTTTTAGCTACCAAGCCTGAAGAAAAATCTGAGGTAAAGACAAAGGTAAAACACAACTTCAAATCCATGCCGGATGGGAGACTGATGATAACGGATGAAGTAAATGAAGACGTAAATGAAAAGAAGAAAGGAAAAAAGAAGAAAGAAGTTGTAGACGAACTTGGGAACTTGATGGATAAGGAATTGGATAACAGAAAGGTAAAAGCTGATGATTATTAAAAAATAATATTATTGTAAATTAAAACTAACTTTCAGTGAAGAGAATTTGTGTCCAGCGCTCGCAAAACCTCGTTCATTGGAAAAATTCAAAATTGAGTTTATGGTATTTTTAGATTCTGAATGAATTATTTAAAAAACAGTGTTTATATGATGGAAATTGGTTGAGCATAAGCCAAGTTATGAATATTTGATTCATTAGATATCAGCCATGTAGATAACAGATTTGTATTTTAAAATTAATTTTGATATATTTTTCAGTAGAATTTAGTGATTGATATTTTGCAGTTTGTTCACTATATCTTCTCTCATAAAATGCAAAAACCTGAAATTCAAAATTCAGATTTTTGAATGTTTTGGGTGTTAGTGCGAAATTAGAAATTGTGACAAGTGGAGGGTTTAGCCAAAGCCTGTCACATAATGTATAAATTTGTTTTATATTTTTAGTTAACCATTAATCCAATGTATTGCATCTCAGCATTCTCATTTACTTTACATTTATTCAGTTGATTTTTCAAAATAATATTTAAAAGGATTGTTTTGTATAAGAACACATTTTATAAGATTAAGAACACCTTTTATAAGATTAAGAACACCGTTGTTGAAATTGCTTTAAAAATAAAACAAATTGAGGCTTGAGGTAAAACGTCAAATAAAGTTTTTATTTTAAAAAAATAGAAAACCAACAAATCTTATTGTACGTACCTTTTGTGCAGCCGGCGTGACTATCTCTATAATACAGTACAGTAATAATATACTTCTGTACAATACTAATTTTCTATATTTGAAAAGTGTGTAAAATAAGCACATTTTGAGCCTCAAATTGGCATAAAAAGAACAATTTTACTGGTTCTTATTAAAAAAAAAAAAGTATGTTACTGATAATTTTAGTTTTGAAAAAGTATATTAGGGGTAATTAATTGTCTCCTAAGTAATCCGAGGGGAGTAATATGGATAGCCCTCCCTTTATTCATGATGAAAGTTTGTGCAGTATTATGATTGAAGTGAAAAATAGTTCTTGAATTTCTAAATAGATGCAGAATCGCAAGAGAAAACTCGAAAATCTGGAAGGAATCAGCGATGATGAAGAAGAAATGTCACCATCGAAGTATAAAGGTCAGTTTTTAACCTTAAACCTTCTTCGCATATTGTATTGATTATTGATGCCATATTATGGAGGTCACAATTTTCTTCACATAGCTCACTCAATTGACTGTGATAATTGATGTAATATCTATGGAGGTCATCATCTTTGTAACATATATGATACAGCAGTTCATGTTTATATGTCTAAGTCATCAACTTCTTCACATAATATTATAGCAACTGCTTCTGTAGAACCCAGAATTCTATTTTTAGAATGATAGTTATTTATATAAAGCAATATCCTTTAAATAATTTACTCTTTAATCACACTTTCCATTAAATACTAGTCATCTATTTTATATGTCATTATTATTATTTCATTCATAAATATTGGGGAAGGGTGAATTTTTATTTTATTTATAACTGCAATAAAATAACCATTAATGGTATTGCATGGAAACTCAAGTAGGCATTCATAGAAGGGACTGAAAATCTCTTGGATATCCATAAAAGGAATCTTACAGATTTCTTTCTGATTGTTTTTATTCTGATTCATTTATTGACATGGACTGATTATGTACTGTTTCTCAAATTCATTTCAATGTCTGACTGCCTTTTAAGGAGAGATTCTCTGGAGGAAAAAAGAATGGATTGATTGTACAGACATTAAAAAACATTTTCCTTTGAATCCTGGCTCCAATATTAATATTAGTTTAGATCCTATGATATTTTTTAAAATTAGGACAAAATAGTTCTACCATCAATAACACCTGTTCACAATCTGGCTGCCCTGTATCTTCAACATTGACACATCTGTATTGACCTTTCACCTTGCCGAGGGGTGGGAAGGAGTGCGATGTGAATTAACAGACTCGTAATCCATACTGCCTTTAGTGAACTTTCTCAACTTGCATCTACTGACACTCAGTAGTAGTACATTGTTATTTGTTGGTCTGTACATAAGTGTTTTTTTTTTTCCCGGCATGTTTAGCTGGTGGAGGTGGTATTCATAGGCCAATTGCAGTAGCAAAGCGATCTGTAAAATCAGTCAACTCACAGCCAGGAGTTGAATACAAAGCAAAGGTAATAACTTAAACTATGAAAACTTAGGATAAAAATACTTGCTTTCCCATGTATGTAGTGAAGTCATATGTTAGGTTAACAACTTGCTCCTATTAGATATGAAAGAAAATTCTCCTAATTATCTTAATGAAAGCAAATTAAGGACTATCAGCAACCATATAGTACCAATTTAACATGTGATTTTTTTGGTGGACTTGAGCCAGGTTTTAATCGCTGGGGTGGGGGTCTTTCGTTGACTTTGACCAATCAACATTCAATTATGTGCGCTGTGAGCGAGTGTATGTTTCGTGTGCAATGTTTCCTGGTTAAGGTTCATTATTATGCAAATTCTCGCGCCTGGCTAATCCTGCTAGTCTGAACGCTCCTCAAAGTTAAGCCAGGTTTAACTCAAGCCTGGCTTATCTACAAGTCTGAACGTAGCCTAAGATTATTGATTTTACAACTGTCCCACATTCTTACGAACTACAATGTGGTTCAACATTTGTAACACCTATTGATTGTGAGTGTGATCAGCATGTATCACAATGACTGAGACCCTCCTGTACTTTTAAACAAGGTCAAAGTCAGAAGAATTATAACAAGAGTTTTTAAAAGGCTGGTTGTGCTTACTTCCAGAATCATTTATTCTAATGCGTGTATGTTTCTTTATAATGTAGAAAGCGGCTGGGGATGTTAAACGGAAAGGAAAGGCAGACCCATATGCTTACGTACCACTGAACAAACATCTAATTAACAAAAGGTAAGGATTATCATAATTTTGATATGTAAAGTATAAGGTTATTGTAGTTGCCTGTGGTAAGATTGCCCATGTATAAAAAATAGTAGTCAGTAAGGCACTCTTCTTATACGATTTGTGTTAAGTTAAAATTCAGTATTTATATTTTTACATTGTATTAGTAAGTTATTAGCTAATTATAGCAAAAAGAAATATTTTCTTGGCAATTAAAATATGTAAATATTCGGTGAGTTGAGTGGCCGAGCGGTGAAACAATTCAATTCTGTTATTGACAACTTCAGTTGCTGTTGAATTTTGAGTTTTTTATTCACTGTTATCAATTTTGATGTGCTTGTATATTTTACAGGAAAAAGGCATCATCTAGTGGTGTTTGGAAGAACCTAACGAAAGCGGCTAAGAAGGGTGCCCTCACAGGCAAAAAGGGAAGAGTTCAGAAAGCTAGAAAAAAATAATAGGATTATAAATGAAAATAAATATAATGCGTTTTATATATTTATGAGGGTGCATGCAGAATACAGGAAGAAAGGAGGGTTTAAATAGTTTTATTCTGAATGTGTTACAATTTATCAACAGGAACTCAATATATAAGCAGATTGCACCTTAAATATGTACTACTAATTTTAACGAATATAAGCCAAGGGTGCTAAGAACTCACTGAAAAAATAGAAACTGGGCTTATTATCAGACAATTCCTCAACAAATAATTGATAAACTTTGTTGGTGGCATTACAAGGACCTGTGCACGACAATCGTTTCTGTTGCGATGGCTGAAAAAATTAGGCTTTAAATCCCAAATCCAGCTTACTTCTGCTAATTGTTAAACTGAGTAATATTATGAGAATGTATTGTAGTGCTTTAGTACAGAGAATCCGTAATACTTTTACCCATAATTTTGCCAAAAGTAAGTCAATTCTAGTAAATGACCTTAGTGCCGGCACCAGCAGAGTGACAGCAGGGGCTTAAGCCCCCCCACCGGACAGCTCAAGCCTCCCCATTGGACAGAGCTCATCGGGCAGTCGAACTGAAAAAAGCATAAAAATAGGCAAACGCCAAGCCAACACATGCCTGTCACAGTTTGTGAATGTCATTTCTGGACATCCAGAGGTGCCTCTCCTTTAAAAAATCTCATTTGGGATGGGGAACATAATCTAAAACCCTTCCCCCAACTTAAGCCTACGAGCTCCAGTCCCCCTTTTGGACAGCTCACCCCCCCCCCCCAGAAAATATCCCCTAGACCCACCACTGAATGACCTATAATCTTGCAACTTAAGAATATGCATATATTAAAAAGTAAATTTTCTTGTTTAGGTCACTGAGACTGGTTTTGGCATGGCAAGCCCCAAATACTCTTGAATTTGGAAAATACCTGCGAGTGCACCCTGTAGTACGCCACTGACGTTTCTAGCTGACCAAAGTTTTAAAATTATTATTTTTTTATTTTTTATTTTTAACTTTGACAAATGCTGGTGTCTAGACTTTATAAACATAAGACTTAAAAACTGATTAACAGCAAATTGACAGGTCCATGCAAAAAATAATATTGCAATTATGTCTGGTTATTTGGTGAAAAATTAATTTTCTCTTTTCTAATTTTAATTGAAGGATTATAACAAGTACTATAAATATTACTGCAGATGTGGGGGATGGGGGATGGGGGATGTGAAGATGAAGTCGGAGCTTGATGATCAGTTGAAGGGCCCTAACTCCCAAAATAAGGTGATTTTAGGTGATTTCTAACTACCTGACCATGATTTTTTTTGGGGGGGGGGGGGCGGCTGGGGGGGGGGGGGCGGGGAC